GCAGGCTGGCAAACGGCAGCTTTGAGGCCCATAGAAAGTCATTGCTGTGGCCCTGGCCCCCTGTTAAGGCAGCTTTGAAAGCATCAAGAAAGTCATTGCTGTGGATCTGAGGTGCCTGCTGGGGACGGTGTTTGGAGGGTTTGGCGGGTTTTGGAGGGTTTGGAGAGTTTTGGAGGGTTTGCGGGCTGGCAAACGGCAGCTTTGAAAGCCTAAGAAAGCCATTGCTGTGGCCTGGCCCTGGGGTGCCTGTTGGGGAAGTGGCCTTGGCCCTGGCCCTGGGGTGCCTGTTGGGGAAGTGGCCTTGGCCCTGGCCGTGGGGTGCCTGTTGGGGAAGTGGCCTTGGCCCTGGGGTGCCTGTTGGGGAAGGTGTTTGGAATTTTGTTTTGGAAAGTTTGGAGCCTTTGCGGGCTAGCAAACGGCAGCTTTGAAATTCATAAAAAGTCTCATTGCTGTGGCCCTGGCCCTGGGGTTTGGAATTTTGGAGGCGTTTGGAGCCTTTGCGGGCTGGCAAATGGCAGCTTTGAAAGCTCATAGAAAGTCATTGCTGTGGCCCTGGCCCTGGGGTGCCTGTTGGGGAAGCTGCTTAAGGGTAAAGGTTTGGAGGGTTTGGAAGAGGACAAGGTCCACACCTGCGGTGGTCCCAGGCGCCGCCCCGGCCTTGGCGAAGGCCGGGGTCGGCGGATTTGGCACCCAGGATATTGGAAGAGACTTGTTTCTCGTGCCATGAAACACGATGTTGCACAGACTGCAAAGGTTTTCCATGTCAGACAAGCACATCGGAGCATTTTTGACTTGATGAGAGAGCGTGGCTTTCATGTTCCATGCCTCACAATGTGCAAGCCGCTGGGTGAGAGTGTGTTTGGGTGTATGTGTTGCCAAATTCCATGCAGAAGCAAGGCAGGTGAAGGAGCGCACATGTTTAAAGCCCATGGTATCACCAACCCTACCAGAAGCTTGTTCCAGGAAACGCAGTGTGCAATTTGCCTGAAGGAGTACCACTCTTTCGGTAGACTGAAGCACCATTTGATTCGCAGTGATGCCTGTCGCCAACAATGGCATGCTTTGAAATCATTTAAAGCTCCGCTACCAGGCATTGGCTCGACCGTTGATGAAACCCGAAATGCATTGACAGATCGTTTGCTCCCTCCAACACAGGCAGCTGGACCTCAGCGTGAATTCCAGAGGCGTAGTGACTTCTCTTTAGTTGATGAGGAACTATATGAAAATATTGCCCTGGACATTTTACATGCCACTGATGGAGATGCTCTTTTCGCGCAGATCCGTCGACGTGTCCAGGCTGCTACTATTTCATGGACGACATGTTCAGCCACATTGGAGGAGCTCCGGTTCAACCTGGAATTAGATGGGCAAGACCTCGGTGATATCCCATTGCAGCGCGTGCTTCACCTTGTCATGCAGCTCCAGTCCGCTGACGCGTGGCCCTTTCTATCCACTGATGTCTACCAGACTGTTGAGCACTTCCCAGACTTGGCACACATCGAAGAGGCCTGCAGTGAAGTCCGCTGGCCAGAGGAAGCCTTCCCTGTCCCGCGGCTTTGGGGTAAACACCGGATTGTCCTCCACGCTTTTGCGGGCAGGCGCCGGCCTGGTGACTTTCAGTTCTACCTTGACCGACTCCTATCAGCGTGTGAAGATGGCATCTATATCCGCGCGGTCTCCATGGACATCATCTATGACGCCACGCTTGGAGATGCCTCGCTGAAGTCCACGCAGGAGTTCTGGTTTTGGGGCATTGATAAGCATTGGGTTGTTGGATTCCTAGGTGGTCCGCCGTGTGAAAGCTGGAGGATTGCACGTGGAGCTCTACTTCCAGATCATGCTGAAAGAGGAGGCCCCCGAGTCATTCGCAATGTGCAGGAACTCTGGGGACTTGAGGCCCTTGGTCTTAAAGAGCTGCGGCAAATTGCCTTGGGCAATGATTTGCTCTTGTTCTCCCTTGCATGCATCTATCGCCTTGCATTAGGGGGAGGCTTTGCAGTGCTTGAGCATCCTGCGGAACCTGACAAAGCAGATGCAGCTTCCATATGGCGATTGCAAATCACCATCCTGCTCACTCACTTTCCAGGTGTCGAAGTCTTGAGGATCTCGCAAGGCCATTTTGGCGCTCGGACTCCGAAGCCTACTAACCTGCTGAGTCTTAATTTGCCCGGCTTGAAGGAAGAGTTGAATCAGCATTCCGTTTGCGACAACTTACCCAAGCGGGCAGCGATCGGCCGTCAACACGACGGAAGTTGGGCCACCTCCCAATTAAAGGAGTACCCACCTGCACTTTGCTTTGCTTTGGCATCCTGTTTTTTTCATCACATTAACAAGGTCCCAGTGGCTGCTAGCACAGAATCAGCAGATCACTTTTTGGACATGTGTCAGAGCTTGCTTGTACAATCTTTTTCTGACCACATTGGCAGGGACTTTGCGGGATGAACAGGTTTGCAACATTTTAGAATTTACCAGCTAGGCCGCAGCGACAGCTACAACATGCCTTGGGGTAAAAAAAAAATATATATATAGATAGACATGTCATATGTACAATGCCTGGCATGATCCCTTCATGATACTTCCAAAGTCAGTTGAATGTCCTTGGCAATCTCGGCCAGGGTGCATGGGACAGCAACATGACCAAGGAGCAATCCGCCACCATCTTCGGGCTAACTGCGGTGCTGTCCTCCAAGCAGAAACCTGGCCTTACAACTGGCAAAACAGGGAAACAGGGAAACAGCAACAAAAGTAATGAAGGGGTGACTGATGTGACTGATGCGACTAGGCTGAGGGTTTGATGATTCGAAGTAGGTGTTGAGATGGTCAAATGCCAAGCTGAGATGGTCACCTGATGGTCTTGGATTTCGTGAGCGCAAGTAGGAACAGTTCTGATCTCCGGGAGACCTGAGGATCTACAACATCAACATGCAGATACAAGAAGATAAGGTTCGTGGAGAGATTTGGGGACTGTGCCTGGAGTTTTCAAATAGGAGAACCCAGAGGGGACAGTAATAGTCCGACTATAAACGTTATATAATTATTTGTCTCTTGTACTTTTTGAAGGGTTACTATAAACGTTTACCTGCCCAATGAACATTAGCTTTATATTATTTATCTCTTTTTAATACGACGTCACTACGACCCTAGTCCCAGGAAAAGGATCCGATCCTTTGATGTTTGAAACCTGGCTTATCTCGCATTGCTGCCTTGAATCTTTGGAGCATATGCATACAGGCTATACATGGCCATACAGGTTTCCATCTTTGCACTGGTTACAGAATGTTACAGAGAATTCGTGTATAGAGAATATTACCCGTGCCCCCTATAGGCACACGAGTACATGAATACTAACATGAATACATGCGAATAGCGTATGCATACATATTACAGCAATCTAATGCATATTTTTTCTCCTACAGGCACAAAGTAGCTGTTCTCTGCTGCCTTGCAAGTCATATGAATGTGAATATGAATACACATGAATACACTGATCATGATTTCGGCCAATAAAAATCACATCGGGATCTTTGCCACTTGGCACCACCTCAGAAGTTGCCCTGTGGATCTGTGATGATTTTGGGTCCCCGCAAGAATACGGGGTTGTACATGCGTGTACATTATGATCGGGGGATGGGATTATATCATATCCATTTGATATCCATTCGATTCCACGTGTATTTGGTATAGGATATGCGTTTGTAGGTCACATACCCTGATGGGTTGCATACCTTGTTTTGTTATGATCACTGGGATCTGATCAGGTGGAGAATCTGGCCTACTTCATGCGCTTTGCACAGGCGGCTTTGAGTAAGGCCGCGGCAGACATGGAGCGTGAAGGCGCGGAAACTGGGACCTTCCTGTTCTGAAACTGGTTGAAGTGTCCTTAGTTTCAGCTGTTTCCATCCTGATGATAAGTTCATCTTACGTTCGACTGACATATTTTTGAACGCTGAAGTCTTCCTGCAGCAGCTGCCCAGGCAAAGGGCCTAGCCGCGCTTGTACCTCAGGGGGGCATGGTCACACACCTATTGAGACCATTGCGGGTCGATCGTGTCCATGATCATGAATCACCATTATTGGTGTGTTGAAAACTCATTTTTGATCATGGCATATGTTTGGCAAGCAATGCTCCCAGACCTGATTCATCCCAACTCCAGCTTGATATAAGGAGGACATCGATCGACCATTCCAGTCTCTGGACTTTCTGGTGAGAGACTGGCGTCATTTCAGGTGCCCTGGGTTGCTGGTGCCCTTTGATGGTGAACGACCCCTGAGTTTTCCCCAGAAAACTATGGAAGTTCACCTTGTGCCAGGGATGATTGGACCGTGGAACAGTGCAAAGAGCAGATGGAGCAGTCTGGCCCCAAGGAAAACCAATGGACCAATGGCACTGAAAAATCGCCGTGGGCTACAGATTGAAGAATTATCCTGAATTCTTGTGCGTAGGGATTCCTGTGCGGGTTGGGTGATGTTCACACCCTTGATTGCCACGGATTACCAACTTGGGGAAGAATTTGGAATGTCATCATTTTTCCAACAGGGTCAATCCCCCATTGACTCCTCCGACCCCAAGAGAAGTCCGTAGAATCGGAGCGCTGAGGCACTTGTCCAGGCATGTGAATCCTCAAAAGATGGTGGAGAACAGTACTGCCGAGGCACCAAAAGGGTTCATTGCCAGTATTCATGAGAAAAAACGGTGGATTTCACAGGTGGCAATGAATCTAAAACAAGTCTGGATACTGCAATGTTGTCCCATCCACGGGTGATGGGATCATCGTGCCAGGCTTTGCATGCCATGTTCAAGCGGCTGAACTGCTTTTGCATGCCGTGGGCTTGGCAATTCCTGTTGCTCCATCAGTTGAAGCATGGTTCCATGACTTGTAAAAGTAGGCAGCACTTTTTTGGAGATAGATGATAGTCGCCAAAACCATGTAAAAGTATGTAAAAGTCATTTACTGTACATTCATGTACCATCATTTGCCAATTTGTTTGAATTGGATTGTACTTTCCTATTTTTTTGCGGCGATACATATGCAGCAGAACCATTCTAAGGCCTCATCCTGGTTTGATCATCGAAAAGGACACCTGGTCCGGCAATGTGGGGAGCCAAAACCTGCCGTTTCTGGGGGCTCGACATCTCTTCCACGTTGGGACCATTGTCTTCCCAAAAAGTGGAGCCAAAACGAGTTGAAAGTACATTCTCGTTGATTCCACTTGTTGGGAATCTTTTTTGTTTGAGGAATCCACCAAATTTGAGAAGCGATGGGCGATTTGAACATTTTTCCCATTTTTGTTCATAATCTCCTCATACTTATTGGTGATGTAGAAATGACAAAATTGCCGGTTGGCAATCTCCCATTTTTTGGTGATAACAGTAACACATTTGCTGGTTCTTCGTGGGACAAGACACCATGCTTTGGAGGCCGTCGAACTGTGGGGCCGAGGTCTCTGACATCAGCAAGGACTTCATTCGATTCATGGATCTTTACGTTCGTGATGTCTTCTCAATAGGTATGGCTCCCAGTGGCGCAAAAATGATTTTGGAGGCCCATAACATGGAAGGTTGCGTTGCCTTTTTCTCCAGGTTTTTCTTCAAATATGGTTTCTCTTTCGGATTGCATTCAAGGTAGAACCACGTCAAGGATTACATAAGTTACATAAATTTACACAATGTTAAATAAAGTTCAATCTCAAGCCGTCCATGAAGTCATGGCCGTGCTGAGGACTGAGCACCAAGAAGATCTTGGGCTCGGAATTGAGTTGCTTGGCAGAATTCCAAGGCTTGTGCCATGGTGATCTGATGCTGGGGATGCTGGGGATGCTGGGGATGTCAAAAGGCATCAAAAGGCCCTAAGGCTCTTGGGAAGAAAAGTCAGGTGAAGGTGCAGTTAAGTGATGTTAAGGAAGGACAGCGACAGCAGGTTGGTCAGATTTTGGACCTTGACAAGATGGATGCAATTCAGGTTGGACACGTAAGCTGCATGAGTGAACAGTGCATGACAGGTCCACAGGTCCTTCATGCCTTTCTGATGAAAGGTCCGCTGTGTTTCATTTAATCCACAAAAACTCAGAGTCCGTACATTGGGGGTAGCCAGCTGCCACCCAAACTCCTGTTCGCTCCCAAGGTACGATGAGTTTTCCATTGGTGCTGCGTGATTTCGTGCGAGGCTGAGCTTGGCACTGACACTTGGACGTAGGTCCAAGTAATCCACAGGTATTTTGCGGGGGTCCACGCCCGTTTGTGAGCTTGAAAGTATGTAATCCTGTAGATTTCTCTGTATGTTCATGTTCATGGTCAAAGTTTAGGGCTCGGACTATGACGGTACCCAATGATTGGGCCCACTCCAGCTCATAGCCAAATTTTGCTCAAGGATACACATACACAATACATATTTGTGCACAAAAATAGGTAGATTTCTTAGTAATATATATATATAATATGATATAATATAATATAGTATAATTATAATTAAAATTATAATTATGATTATAATATGATGTAATATGATATGATATAATATAATGTAATTATAAGATAATATAATATAATACAATACAATATAATATAATATAATACAATATAATATAATATAATATAATATAATTATAATATAATATAATACAATATATAATATATAATATATAATATATAATATATAATATATAATATATAATATATAATATATAATATATAATATTAGCTAGGTTCAAGATAGGTGGTAGAGGCCTTAAGTAAGATCCAAACATGTCTGGTACGTACGGCTGGTAGGTTTGGTTTTCTTGGTACGGTACGGTTGGTACATGTGGTACGGTACGGTTGGTACGGTTGGTACGGTTGGTACGGTTGGTACGGTTGGTACGCTTAGCAAGGTACGTTTGGTACGCGCTTACCAACCGTACCGACCGTACCAACCGTACCAGTGTACCTATCTTATAGCTGGATATCAAGCACCTATCTTGAACTTAGATAAATATAATATATAATATATAATATATAATATTTAATATAAATATATAAAATATATAATATATAATATATAATATAAAATATATAATAATAAATATATATAGTATATAATATAACATATATAATATATAATATATAATATATGATATATGATATATAATATATAATATAGAATATAGAATATAGAATATATAATATATAATATATAATATACAATATATAATATATAATATATAATATATAATATAGAATATAGAATATATAATATATAATATATAATATATAATATATAATATATAATATATAATATATAATATATCATACACAATTTTTAATATAACATATAAATAATAAAATATAAAATATAAAATATATAATATATAATATATAATGTATAATGTATAATGTATAATGTATAATGTATAATGTATAGTATATATTTATATATATATCCCTCCGGAGCGGACGTTTGCCCAAAGTTTCATTGGGGTTGCTGTGGGGTTAGCTAAGGATTTAGTCAAGACTGTTTTAGGGTTTACTTAGGGTTGGTTTAGATTTTCTTCACGGCCGGTTAGGGTTTATGTAGGGTTTGTTTGGTTAATGTTTGATGCTATTTAGGGTTGTTTTAGGGTTTATTCGTGGTTGTTTTAGGGTTTCTTTAGGGTTACTTATGGGTGATTTAGGGTTGGTTTAGGATTTGTTTAGGGCTTACTTAGGGCTGGGTTATATTTTAGGGTCCCTTTGAGGCTTTACTGCTTGTTGAAGTTTTATTTGACGGCTCGGAACACTGAAATGTACGGAAAATATGTTAAAGACATGGTTCAAAAGGTGATTTTGGCACCGTCTTAGGTCAGCGCAAAAATGCAATGAGACGCAGGTAATACCTATATTTTGTGTGCTAGCAGTTTGCGAAAAACACGCGCCGCAACAACCCAGCAGATTGCAGTCCCGCATGGAATTCCGTTTGATTTCGGGCAAATGTCAGCCCCCTAGCTAGATATATATATATAATATTATATATATATTATAAGACGTATTAAGATGTATATAGTTGTACTAAAATGTACTAATATGTAAATCTATCATTTTGATGGCCTGGATATCCTCATGGCCACCATTGTCACCAGCGAGGTCAGCGCCTTTCACGACGCGGCTCCTGCGGCCATGTCCTTCACCCAGGCCATGACCAACTGCACAGCGCGGATGCCATGCGGGGCTGTGGCTGGAAAATGCCATGGTTGTCACGCATTTGGATGGGGAGATCCTGGGAAAAGTTGGAAAAATGTTTGAACTTTAGATCATTTTTTTGAAACATGTATGGGAATCTATAGAGATTACAACATATAGTAAACTGTATCACGTAACTTTCTCATCAGGTTTAGAATGATTGATATGGGGACGGGTAAACACTTTTGGGACCTATTATAAGCATATTTATTTCTCGGGGGGGATGAACATGGATGGCAGCTATCTTGAGGTGAACAAAAGGGACCAGAGTTTTGGCCGACAATGAAAAACACGGGAGATTATCATCATGCTGAATCATTCTGGGTAGGGGATGATGATGATGATGATGACGACGACGACGACGACGACGGATTTTGTTGTAGAACCTTGATAGATTACTGTACCTCCCAACTTATGGCGATTAAGCATGTGGAAATATGTTTTCTAAGCCATGGGGGAACATGTTTCTTGGAGAATTGGGGATTGCCACACATTGGTGGAGATAAGTTATATTTCTAAGTTATGTCTCATAATTTTCATAGCTATTGATGGCTTCAAGCGACTAAACTGGACCATGTTCATCCCAGCCACTGCGCCTAAGGTGTTGCTGGCAAAGGAGCAAGCGATGAAGAACTACACGAAGAAGATGACCGAGGCATTCCAAGGGAACCCAAGAAAATGCATTGCAGACATGTTTCTCTACAAGACCATGTTGTTCCATTATTATTGTATATTTTGCAAAGAAGAATGGGGAGCTTCAATTGCTGTGGCTGCCTCCGTTACATCTACGCACGTGCGTTTTCCTGTTGATCCTTTTTGGGTACGCAAGTTGGACCCATAAGAAGGCATTCCATTTGATTGTTGATTGTAAATTACCAATCATTTCTAGGGTACATGTACATATATATATATGTAATATATACATATCCTGCTGCCAGAGTATGTTTGAAGTGTTTGAACGTCCTCTTGTTGTGCTGAAGATCACCCAGATAACACAGATAATATGTAAATGATTCTCCACAGCTAGACTAGACTGCTGAAGGATCTATTGGAAGGGACCATTTTCGGGGTTCTGTTTTGGGTTTGTCTTGTTTCAATGTTTCAATCCCAATTCTTGCTGCCCAGAATCTCAATGTCCCTCAGAAAACAGACGATTTTTTTGTTGGTCAAATCATTAAATCCCAAATCTTTGGTTTGTTCCGTTTCCATATTCCGTGGCAAACTACAATTTCACGCGGACACGTGGAGAAAAGAGTGGTTCCTGGCATTTTCGCAGGAAGCTCAGAGGCATCCTCGCGGCCTGGCATCCCAGGTGTTGCAGTGTAGCTGCTTGATCTGGGTTACCATTGCAGTCTTGTCTATATGGAGATGTCCTAAAATGGGAGTACAAAATTAATCTCCCGTTTTCATTCAGATTTCCCATTAACCAACCAGCTATTCGCGTACACACATCCCCATGTATCTATGTATATGTTGCACATGTAATGTATATATATATAGATATCCATGCATGTATACATCTGTAGTATCAGCAATACATACTTGATCATACGCTTAATCCATAAATATTTGAAGAAACCTCCCGTTGCTGATGTCTTTGACCTTGCATGCCTGCTTAGACAGACTGCCACTTGTGGGATGGGTGGCGAAACGACTAGCGAGATTACTTCTTGGGTTATTGAAGCACTTTGGGGGATTTTGCCAACGGCACACCAACGATCCTAGTGGCAAGACCGAATGTGCATCATAAGTGCCTTGAATTGCAGCCCTTCTCCAACACAAATTGTTTGAAGTAATATACAACAAGAATTTCCCGATGATCACAAGCGTTGCAGCCTGTGGAACATGCGGCTTGGTTATAGCACAGACATGCACAGACATTGATCGCCAAAAGAAGCTTGCAGTGACACAGGGTTGCAGTCAATATCACTCAATGGACCTGAATGGACCTAAGGATCCTAAGGCTCTTGTCGATTTCTTGGGCTTGGACACCAACTGGGTGTCCAGCGCTCCCATCGAGCCATGGGGAGAAACGGGAAGGCCATCGGGATGAGGAAGGCCAACGCGATCAGAGAGCAGTTCATCTACTGCAACAAGTCCATGAGGCGCCGAGGGCCAGGCTACGGTGAACCAGCGCCCAAAAAGTTGAAAGACCAACCAAGACCGCTCGATTACAAGCTGTACGAACCGTGGAAAGACGGGGAGAAGGCACAAAGACATCCACGAGTCACTGACCCGCCAACACATCCACCAGTGGCTGGCGCGCAGTTGGAGGCAGCTTGGGGCGGTCAACAAAGACATGGCTTGCAAAGCAATCCAGCGGGCGGAATGGAGCCTGAGGCATGGCAAAAGCTGAAGCAGCTCAGGTGCAAGCGCAAGCTGCAACACCGTGGCCGCGTGGATGCAGATGCACTGGTCCCAGAAGGAGCCGGGCGTGTCCTTGCAGCAGCTTCGCGACGAATGAAGCAGAGTGTCAAAAGCCGCTCTTAGTATCCGATGAGTTCTTGGTGCCCAAACTCGCACTCCCCAATGTGATCCAATTGGACGTAGTAGTGTTTGCATTCGACAAGTCATTTCAGCAGGGGCACCAGTCTCAGTGAACTATGGTGACGTTGATGCCAGCATGCCTAGGAATGAAGCCTGAAGAATTCGATTCCTTGAGCAGATCAATTACAAAGCAACTGGAGGACGGAAACCAACGGGGGAAGTAAAGTTAAGCAAATATTTGATTGAGTCATTGCTGTCTTTCAACACACAGTGTACTTACACATTGACATGTGCTTCCTCTCAACAATTTTGTTTGGACTTGAGTACGATGTACCATCCTTTGCATGAGACTTTCTTGCGTTTTTGCATTCTTGTGGGCATACTGAATTATTCATGTCCATTTCGTCAGTGGCCCCGAATTCCGTGCGACGTAGCCTTTGCAGCACAATTTAACATCTTAGTCTTGGATTCAGCCACAGAAAAATATTTGCATTAAGAAAGTAGGAAAGGTTCAGTTTGTAGTTTAAATAGTCTAAATATAATCTAAATCAAAGAAATCTTTAAGACATCAGGGTCATCCCTTCGCTCGAAGGATGACTTCAAATCTGTGACCATCTTTGGGTGCCCAGCCTCGGTGGGGCCATTGGGGTTGTCCATAACCGGGGAAGTTGCCACCAATCTATGGCAACATTGGGGGAACCATATGGCAATTTGCAAAAAAAAACCATGGTTCTTTGGTTTTTTGTTGGACCACCTAATTTTCAGACCCCTTGCAAAGTGCCAAAGTGCAGATAGGACGTTGTTGAAGGGTCAAGATTGCTTGTGCCAGCAACTTCTGCCGGCATTGTAAGGTCTGATGATACCAGGAAAAGCACCTGGAATGAAATCCTTGAGAACCTTACCACTCTTCAAAAGCAATATGCTGAAGAGAACTCCAGACGATTAGAAAAGGCAAGATTTTTTGGAGATGGGAACGGTTGGGCCGCAGCGCAATCTGGCCATGGCCAGTTTTCTTCTGAAGGACAAAACTGGAAAACCTGAAGCCACAGTTTTTTGAATGACCGTTTTTTGTAGTTTTGAACGTACATAGATTTGCAACTTGGATGTGCGTGAACACTCAAGTCTATTTGTATTAGCTCAGCTCTTGGGTCCAGCATTAATGAAGCTTCTGTCACTTTCTGAAACATCCCCGGTCTCTGGACGTTTTTTCCCCATATTTTCCCATTAAGAACACATGGCATTCCCAGCCATGTTTCATCGTGTTGTCTCTGGGAGGCCCTAGTAGCCTTTGCCAATCTTTGCCTGCTGGGTTTGGTGCTTTTCATCTTGGACCGAATCAGTCACCTGGCATCACTTAACTCCCTGGGATGTGAGGTGTTGTTGGCCCGTTAAACTTAAGGTGAATATGAGATGTTCGGATCTTATTAAAGCTATTCGTACATGGATTTGAGATGGTCAAAATATCCTGCTGTGTATTTTTTGGGTATTGTTTTCAGTTGCTGGACATGTCAAACTTATTGGCCGTCGTTGACACACGCGTGATGTGCAAAGTCTCTAAGACAAGATGTAAAGTTCTTCCAGGCCTGCACTTTGGGGCCCGTTGGTCAGTGGCAAGGTGACTGGGTGTGCGATTGGTGGTCAAAGACATGTACAGATCTGAGCAAGGTGCGACCGGTATTGGAGGCGACAAAACTACCTGGTTTTGGATGTCCGTCAAGATTGAATACCTCTTGTTCAACGTGAAGCAGCAATCATAGCCTAGATGGATATGGTTCAGGCTTTGGCTAACCCAACTACAATCTGTTGAAAATGACGAAGAAATCAATTCATGTCCTGAATCTCAACCCATTCCCGATTGGTTCCGATGTTGCCAACTACAAATTTGGCGCCAGCTTATGCTGCTCGCATATGTGGTGATCTTTGGCTACGTGGGATCCTCAAATCTATGGTGGGACCTTGCCGCACCTAGAGCAGCTAGAGAAATACTGTAGGCCAGGCGCACCAAAATTTGCCCCCCTGATATCTTTTGACTAATTTTGTTTCCAGGAAGTTTTTTCTGTGGGTTAAAAACCTTTCCGGTTTTTCCGCATGATTTCGTTCACATGACGTGTCAACGAGCCAAGGTGGGTGTCCAAGCATACCTCGCATTGCACGATCGCAGTCGAGTGGTCAATGCTCCCAGTGGGACCAGTGCTTCATACGTCACAGTGAGATGACTAAGGATCAATAAAAATAGCCATATAATAACTGGTTATAATAACTGGTTAATATTATATGGTTGAAATATATGGTTAATATATGGCAAGGATTTTGGGAGATGGAGATGAACATCCATAGATCCCAGCTATTTTGATGTGAAACCCAGAGGTACTGTTTGGTCCTGTTTGGTATTGACCAGATCGATCTCTGAAAAGGCTGCAGCAATGGCTGGCGGCGAGCTCTGGAAAGAGATGGTAAGGTTGACGGGCGTGCAGGGAAACCCAGGGCCTATTTGGGAACAAAGTTTCAAGGATGGTCCTTTGGTGCCACTTGTTCATCGCAGATATTTTTTTCATGATTTGTCGCTCCGTTTTTGTTTGGTTGATCACACTTTTTCACTGGTTCTGGTTTTTTAACCACCAACTTTTCCACCATTCTCAGCTTAAAAAAAGATTTTCTTTGGTGCCATACATTGCCAGCACTCGAGGTATGGTGAACAGATCCAGGAGATGAACTTCAAAGAATTGGTAGATTTAGCCAAGAAGGCGAGTGCAGATGGGCTGTTCTGAGCAAATGGCTACGCTTTGTGGAGAGTGATCTATGATCAAAAAAGTCTAAAAGAGTGATGTCAAAATCCATGGCAGAACCATGTTAAGCATTGTTAAACCATTTTAAACATGGTTAAACCATGTTAAGCATTGTTAAACCATGTTCAGTCATTTTCACGCCAACCTATTCTGACATATTCACAAGACAACATCTTCCAGCCCCTCTGCTCCGCCCTCTCGACAGGTCCTGTCCAAGCCGGATGCAGGTTCAAATGACGCCTCCAGCAAGAAGGAGGCTGCGGGAATAGGGGGATCTTTCCAATCACCACTATAGTCCCTTTTAAAGGGGGCCCAAAATGAGTAGATCCACATTCCGTTAGCGTTTCGTTTGGGAGGTCTGTTTCATATTGGGGAGAAGGGATTACTGGATGATGGAGAAAGTATGGGTTGATGAGGATGATGTTGGTAGCTTCCTTATGTAAGCAACTGAAACCAGTGTTGGGGAAAACATTGAATCACCAAAAAAAAGCAGTGGGAGCCATTGATGGACTGGTTGCGGATTCATCAAATGATCAGTTGATTGGTCACACAATTGATCTCGGGGTCCTGTGAATGGTCGGTTCAAGCTAGATCCTCAGTCTTCGTCGGATGAGTCGTATTCCTGTTTGGTTGGGGTCAAGACGTAGACCCCACCAATTTTGGTCATTTTTAGATCCAAGCAGCCAATTCCGAATTCAACCCCATCAATCAGTGTTTCGAAGATTGTTGGTTCAAACATATCCATGGGTTCAAGATCTGAATGGAGAATTAGATATCTATTGGGGCAAAAACATAAAACAACACAATGTTTCCCTTGCTTTTGTTCTCGTCTCCGATATCAGGACTGAGCCAGCACCTGAGTCACCCATGTCGTCAGCGAGACACAAAAACCTGCCCCTGTGGGACATGCTACCGGTGATATTTACCAACAGCCGCGGGATTCAACCAACACGCATGTCGATATAGCCAGCAAAACTTTGGATTTAGAATGATTCCGGGCTGGGTCAAAATTATTGACCTCTCAAATATGGATTGTTTAGTCGTCAAAACAATTCTCTCGTGCATGCACAGACTGAGAATCTGTAGGAGAATGTATAGGACTGAGAAAACTATAAAACAGTTGGGGGTTTACTGCCCTTAGAATCGATTGGACAGCTCGACATGTCATTTCAGATGATCCAGCAGCGAAGGAACTTACAAGCAAAGATGTGCACTGTTTCAAGACCACTACATAAACATGTAGTTTTTTGAGTACCATGGTCACATAGGAGTTCTTCCAAAGTGCCACAACTGTATTTTGGCACTTCCAAACTTGAAAAGCGAGAGTGGCAGATGGTCACCACTACACTGCGTAATAATTGTGCACAGATGAAAGATGATCAAGGCGAGATGCATCACAGAACCAGATGAGGAACACCTTCGAGATGAGATAGGAAAACATGTAAATAAACTACAATAAATTGGAGTTGACATTTGCACAGGCATAAAATCTTCACACTCACATTTCCTTTCGCCCGCCGCCAGTTTTCCTTTGGTACCCGAATTCAATTCGAAGCGGTGAAGTTGCAAGGGTTACGAAGATTATCAGAGGACTCACTGAACAAAAACCCAGCCTTTCCAATGCCCACCTCGAAAAAGTGAGCTCAACTTTTCAGGCCAGGAACGGCCCTACGCCCTACTTTGTTTCAGAGACACTGTGGGTCGCTGGGAGCTAAACATTCAATGCATAGCTGAGCCATTCTGCCGAGCCGCGCGGGTCGCCATGCCATGGGTCCGCTCCCCAGTGGCCACCAAGTGTCATGTTCTTCATGAAAATCCCTGGTTGGTCTGGAGGACTCCCCCATTTGTTGGGTTGTAATCCCATGGGTGTCCGCTAGATTTTCCTCAACGGATATGTCAAGATCAGCTCATGGAACCTTGCCGAGGTGGAAAAACCTCCTCCTCGAAGCATCAGTGACCGCTTACTGACGCCTGATTGACTGTAGGCATCATTCCAATAGGGTGACTGCAGATGCTCTGCATCGCCACAAGGATGCAAACTGATAGTCACTGCCAAGCAGGTACGAGGTGAAAGCAAAGAGCGCTGCAAGGACCATGCGACACATGATGACAAATGAAGAGACTGATGACTTTGGACATTCAATGCAGACATGAAGTAAAAGTCATGGTTGAAATCGGATGAATATCCTCCGATGATATCTATTTATCTCATTTTATCCCTGCTTCATTGATATTGATGACAGTGGACTGAATCTGGACTGATCACCTCAGCGACGCATACGCCGCGACGCCTCAGGGCCTGGGATGACGCCGAAAGTTCAGGCGCGATGTCGTGGCACACCTGACATGTCTGGCTGATAATCTCTCCAGGTGCCGCACCCAGCCATGGACCGCGGCAAGCCGCGGTGGCGTCCGGGGGCCTTGGTGAAAATATGGGCTTTCAGATGGTGAAAGTGATGGACTGAAGGTCTTGTTTCTTCGAGGAAACCTCCATTTATTTGATGTTTGACTGGAAATTTTTGGAAAAACATGGAAAAACGATGTTTTTCCTGCAGATTTACCCTTTAACCACAGTAGGACAGCGTGCTGATGTGAATTGGGGAGTTCCGCAAGACAGATACAGCCACTGAGGCCCAAGCGTAGCCACAAAGTTGGCCCCGAGGAGAGTGGAAACGAGTTGGCTGACAACGAGGTGGGGATGGATTTGGCGATTCACCAAGTTGCATCCCATGGATATGCCATGAATATGCCATGGATATGCCATGGATATGCCATGGATATGAAGATAATCCAAGGATGTCCAAGTACAAAATGGCAATGACGATGGACGTTCGTGTGGACCGCTTTGAAATATGTTTAAATTTGAACTATAAAAATTATCACTCTTCATTAAAGTCGCAGGTGGAGAAAAGCTTTCGGGCCGAGATGACCTCTGCGAGGTACGGAGAGTGCTGTGGGTATAGATAGGGTATGGCTTTTGGTTATGTTTTGACCAAGTCTTTAAGTGTAGAAAGATGGATAAGCTGGATACCCAGCCATTGTGGATTTATGAATTGATATATATATATACTGGTGTGTATATATATACACATGTTACATATGTACACCTTTTTCAAGACATGCTTTATTACAACCAGCAATCGCCAACCAGGTGGATGTTGACCTGGTGGATGTTGACCCAAGTAACCACCTGTGACCAACGCCGCAGGTCTCCGACGGCAGGAACTTCAGGCGCTTGTCATTACTGTGGCTAGTATACACTGATGGGTTATAACATTTTATCACCAGGTATGGACGGCAGTTCTACATATGTAGGATATATATATATTATTCATTATTATTCATACTACTAACAAATTTTGGATGCGCATCCACGTAGAGTTTTAATCCCAAGTAGAGTTTTTATCATTTTTTATCCACCGCGCCACGTGGCTTTTGTGTTCACAGTGACAGGACCAAAGAGGGGCAAGAAACCTGAATCGCAGGCTGGAGATTCAGCAGTTCGCCATTGGGCACTCGGCTTCCAAAAGTGGATGGGTTGTTGCGACAAAAACACCATAGCATCCCAGTTGTGTTGTACCGATTTTGACATGTTCACACCTCTTCAAGGTGCAGACATTCAGAAGGCAGGGGTTGGCTCCTTCAATGACCATTGTCAGGTCGAAAGCCAAAAATCCGGAAGTGCCAGGTGCAGCTCAGGAAGACAAGTCGAAGAGCATCGTTGTTGATTTTGGTACTCCAAAGATGAGAGGCGTTTTGAATGTCAAAGATAAGAGACAAAAAACATGCAGAAATGAGTTCAAGATAGTTCAAGATAGTTCAAGAATGATGATCTCAAACTTTGACCCATTGAATCCCTTCAGAATGCTTGGTGTTTTCTCCATGGCTATCTCTCCCAGGCCGACTGGAAGAAGTGGCAGTCAACTGGCCCCTGAAGGTTGGAAGCAGTTGGAAATGGTTGCCAGCAGGCAGCTGATTTGTCAGCTATCAGAATCCTTTGTGGTCATGCTGACAGTGATGGATTCCAGTCCTGTTTTTTTTCATCTGCAAAAGCTTTTCCTTGTTGCGCCCATTTGCGAACTGTTTGAGTTCAACCAATTTAGTAGCGTGATGCTTCCATGACAGGATATGCTACAGTTGTATGGTCGTCGTCAATGTCGATTGGGACTGGTGACTGGATGTAAAAAAACTGCTTTGATGGATTGACTCATCGATTTATTGACTTATTGAGCCATTGATTGATCGATCGATTGATTGGTTGATTCATTTATTGATGGATCCTAGAATTGATGGATTTTCCATCAATTGGCCTTTTAAGGTAGAATTTTGATGGATCTACCATTTCCACCTAGAATCTCACCATCTCAATTCTACCCCATCTCTACCAGGGCCGTTCCGATTGCCAGGGGGCGAAGCTGACTCCCCCACCGGCCCAAGCCTCAGGGTTGTGGCAATCTAGCTGGAACGTAACTGAAGTGACCTTTTCACCAAAATTTGAGCATAGCATGATATATTGTATATATATATACATATATATATATAGACTTACATACATGTATATGTGTATGATAGTATGTAAACATGAGTGTATATATATATACTGTAGTAGTTGTGAGATGTTGTGAGGCAGGTTTTCGCCAGTAGCATGCAAACTTTGCACAAAATGCTTTCTTCTGCACCACTTCTTGTGTATCGCAGCGGAAATCCAACATACAAGTGATCATCAAAGTCAAAGGGCTCTTGCATATGTGGCTAGGTGGCCCATTTTCCAGACTCTAAACATCACCTTCGGACCTTCAGATCTTCACATGTTTGCTGAAGATTATTGCCCCAAATGGCCGGAGTGACCTTGCAATGGGGCACGACTGAATCACCAAGGCCCCAAAGCTACTTTACCAGAGGCATGGACCAGGCACCTGGCAGTGGGAAGGGGGATCTGGTCCCTTAGAAATCTGAAGTGGACAGGAACAGCACGGAAGAACTGGACATATTCAACGAGACAACCAGCTCTACCAGCCGTTTGATGAATTTTTGGTGATTCCATGCTGGGTTCCGGTGACAGCTGCACTTAGGCGTTTGGCGAATACAATGATTCTTCACACGGTCCAGAATTCCATGTCAGCAACCGAGCGGACACAGGTCATGGGGGCTGGTCCTCATTGGGATGCAGTACACTAGTTGACCTTTACCATCAACCCATACCTGTCTTGTCATGGGCTGAAATCGTTTGGGCTGGGAACACCATGGTGAGCACAATGGTGTCAAGAGTGCGATCTGGCTCTTGACCCTGAGGATTCTGGCCACATACCTTCTCGACTTGCTCACAGGTGGATCCTTGGTAATGTTGAAGGCAGATCTTTTGGAGATTGGATGAGCATCGAACATCAGCAGCCAATGCTATCCAACTGCAGGGGGAGAATCCAGCGGCATCCAACTGGCTATTTTCAACCTCCAAAGCTAGTTGAGTGAATGTTGAGTGAATGTCATCCATATTTCCAGGAGGGAATCATAGGAGTCCAGAGATCATCTCAGGATATGGTTCCCGAAGTGCTCTTCATATCGCCTGCTGGGAGGGCTCTCTTCCAGCTGTGCAGGACGGGACTTAGGGCGACTTAGGGACATGGGATTGATGCTGAAGACCTTGGATGCACTTATGTTTGGTGGCTGCGAGATGGGAACCATTTCAAAAAGCAGTAGTCCAAAACCTCAAACAGACATCAAACCTTCCATCAGCAACCTCGTCCGCATCACCAGCAACTCACCTTTCCCAATTCCCGCAGCCCACCCCTGCGAAACACCAGGCGGTGGTGAACGGTTCCAAGGCTGCGATCCAGCAGTGGCAGGGGATCCCAGGGATCTGCTGAAAACCTCTGACCTTTTTGACAGGGGGTACAGCGAGAAGGGCTCTAGAGGCTCTACTATATTTAACCAACGATGATTTACCAGATGTGCCAAAAAAAACTGAGTCTCATGCCATTTGCCATGATTTACTACCAGTAGATGAATATGACCAAAGATATATCATATCATAGGTGACATTTGTCCACAAGTTGTCACCTTGCAGCGGACACAAAACACTGAATGTCACAAGGAAAGCACAGGCTATGAGCTTCTCCCATGGCGACGAAAAATAGGCATACTATATCAATCTATATCATGGATCCGGGAATGTTTAGGAGCCAGCAATGCAAACACTGGAAATCCCAGTCACATAGCTTCCATACCCATGGCTGGCATCTGATACCGATACCTCCGTTGCTTCCATTCAAGCGGTGTAGGCACAAGCGTCGCGGTGACTTGATGCCTTTGCACATCGCGGCCATTTGCAGCCATGCGGAGGTGCCCCACTGGGGGAACAGATGATTTTGGAGGATGTTGGAGGTCAAGAAATAGTATCCATATATATATATATCCATATATATATATATGTGTATATATATATATATAATACCCTTTGACCATCTTTGACCGATTTTGGTCATTTTCCTAGACATCTGGGCTATTGTTGACAACCTAATGTGTGTAAGGATCTCAACTCCTTGCTGTTTACTGACTGCTGCAAATGGCTGATCCATCTGCAACCGTTTGATGGATTTCATTGGGGCAACCCTAGGAACACGACTTCACTCCCATTTCAAGGGTCTTGGGCCATCACAAAACCCATGGCTGGGTTCCATAGTTCAGTTGAGATGCACTTGACATACACAGAGATATTGTCACCACAACTGCCGTTGACAGGTCACCGAGCTGCTGTTGGGCTACGACGTGGATCCAAACATCAACACGGTGGGGGATGGCGGATGGGATGTTGAGCATGCTATTGAATGCTATTGGGGACGATGATGATGATGGTTTGTCTCGACAGAGCGCCCATGGAGACCCAGCGCTTCTTGATTGTGGATACTCCACAGATGTCAGGTTCATCAGCTTCGCTCGTATGGAGCCCGAGCATTTGACCTCGACCTCGAAGTACCCGCTGGTAAGGTAATTGAACATGGCAATGGGAAAACCTCGATCAATGGGTGTGTCTGATGGGAAACTCATTGGTGATTAAATCGGAATATTGCATTGTCAGATTTGATTACCAAAAGGAAGTGATAACATATTTTGCTTTTTACAATGGCGGGATCATTTGCTGTCGAGGAAAGTCTAGTTTCCATATTCGCATTTATTTTTTGTCGATGGGTTACTTGATGCTAGATGATTGTGTCGTTCCATGACAGACATACCCAAACTCTTGAAACTGTTCATGATTCCAATCATCCATCAACAGATTCAAATGAGGCTTCATATCGCTGCCACCTCTTCGAGTGAAGTTTGCGAAGTTCTTTTGGCAAACAAAGCAGATTTCATGGCATGCAGTGCCGACAAGGACTGTGAGGATGGTTGCAACATGTTGCAACAAAAAACCGCCTCTTTGTTGTGTAGAAATGGTGGAACGATGGACACTTGGAGCCACCTTGGGGGGGTGAATTGTCTCAAACTTCGCCCGTGTTCTGGCACTTGCATGATCTTGATGCCAATACATCGAGTGCAGCAACGATTGCAGTGTAGATTTGGGCGATTTGGGTGTGCCTGCAAATATGGTTTACCATGGTTTACCAGTTTACCCCCGCGTGGCAATTTCATGCAATTTCAGTGGGGAAAATCATGATGAACCATGATGAACCAACAAATTGCGGTGTACCCAATTTCCAGACACCCATTTCCAGCAGCGGAAATCCAGCTGAACCACTGCTCCCAGGATACCCCCTTGCACTTCGCCAACTGCTTCCAGCAGATCGACACTGTGGAACTACTCCTGAAAGCGCGTGCCGGTGACGAAGAAGGGGAGGGTTTGGGTTGGCGAGGATATCTCTCGGATGATCCTCGCGCGACTTGCGCTTCCAACTGATGGCCGGGGTTCAGTACAGTACTGGTACCTAGAATGAAGTGTCATTATTTATGTCATTGTTGTATATATATATACACATACATGATGCTAACACATACCCTAACTATCAGTTATTGTCTTTATATTCTGATAATGGACTGTTGTTTCATTTCTTTTTGATCATTTATTTTTGGCCACCAAGAATGATTGCCATGACTTCCGCGCCACCAGAGGATGTCGCTGCCTAGGTGCTGATGCGGCAGCTGCTAACAATTTCGGAGTGGTGCCTTTGCACGTGGCTTGACACGAAGCGAATGGGTAGGAAGCAAGGCCAAGAGTGACATGGGTGGAAAATGGGGCATACCTGGGTTACCCTCAAGTGATCCATTTTTAAGGGGGAAAATTATGATTCACCACCTTAGTTTCTGACACAGCGAGATTGTAGCAGATTGGTTTAGGATGAGGCCCCCCAACACTGCGGCAGGGGGCAACACTGGAGCGATTTGGTTCATTCCATGGGTGAACTGGGCCGCAATTTTCAAGGCTTCAGCAGGAATTTTGTTGCTCACGATCATGGAAACTCCCAAGCCCTACAGGTTGCAGTGGCCTATGCTGGATTGGAGCGCATGGAATTGAAGGAGGTAGCTTGGCGACAGGATGGCGTAGGTGTCCCTTCCTTGAAGCCACTCAGTTCTGGGGAAGTCACCTGCAGATGGATCCTCAAACTCCTTTAGACATAGTTTGTTTCTTGCTGCAGTGGCACTTCATCTGTAAAGCCCAGCCCAAATGTAGCTTACCGCCGTACCGGGGAGGTTTCAGGCTGGAAACACCTGCCTGCCGAGTCACAAGTACGACGATATATGCATTATATCCAGTCAATTTCATGCTGATTCAGAGTTTGATTCGATGATGACCATAGATTAGAGAAAGAAGACATAATCCTGAAAATCGGAAACTGTCGATGTCAAGTCAATTGAATGATTGATTTTGATAGAAATATCATGAAATATCATGAAATATCATGACATATCCAACATATCCAAAATATCCAAAGTCCGATTTGAATGATACATACATAGAATTTGATATCCAGCAACTTGCTTTCCAAAGCGACCCACCCTGAGGCGCGCGCTGCATTGTTGCTCTGCGCCCATGGAGCCCGCTTGGATGACAGGCCTGCCTTTCGGCCCAGAGGTCCCAGCTGGTTGAAGTCAGTGCCCAGCTGGTTGGGAAACTAGGAAATTCATGGAGAATGAGATGAATCAGTAAACAATCTCGGAAAATCATGGAAACATGGTATATAGTCTACAGCAATCAAGTCTAGCATATGACTGACCAATAGTAGAATGAAGGTGGAGATAAGACCTCAATCCATAAACTAAAACTTCTTAAACGAGTAGGAGATGGTACCCATACCGATACTGATACCATCGGACACTGGTAGCCACTGTGTTGCTCAGGGACCACCATGGCCATACTCCTGCAGCTGTAGCGCGGATGGCAGGCAGTTGGGGATGTCTTGAGATGGGCGAGACTTCAAGGATGAAATGACACAGCATCAAAAGGGGAAAAGGAATTTGACATATTTTGACATGATAACTATATATAACTAATGAAGTCAAAACCATTTCTTTTCTCCCACTTTACTCTGACCATCCCGACACTTAAGTTCTGCTCTTTTCAGCAATGTCATAGCCCCAATCTCCACCGTTTTTGTTGCACTGATCCACTTGGCCCCCCAGGCGCCCGTCCATCGTTGATCGAATTCTTGGAATCCGATGGTCCTGACCTGAGAGCCGCTATGTCGCTATGTGATTCACCTGCTGAATTCTTGGAATCGACTTAATTGAAAAACTTGGGCATGAGGGCATGAGACATCATTTTCATTCATTTTCTGGATTTCGGAATTCTTTCCAATTGTGTTCAAACCGTTCCCTGCAAATCCTCCGCTTGGAACAGATTTCCTTGGGATGCCAAGGCGAGGAATGTCAAGAGAAGGCCCAGAGCATTTTGGACATGGTGGAAGAGGCCTCCACCCTTGGTGGTGTGATGGAGCTGATGGTGGTGGATATCCTTGATCTGTATGGGTCAAAGTTATTGGGGTGCATGTGTCCGGCAACACGACTTGCTGTACCACCGGGGTCATGACACAGGGTGATTTCGAGAGTTTGGGTGTCTGCACAGATGACAGCCAGCCAGCCAGCCAGGCAGAGAGAGAGAGAGAGTTGCCTGCTCGAATTATCGCATGCCCAAAAACCGTAACTTTCACTTGTACTCCAAAACCTAGACGTATGAAGTGTTGTTCGCAAATATCAATCTTGGAGGATTAGAAAATTACAGCCACAGCGGTTCCGCAGGACTGGGAAGGGGAAGAAGAGAGCCTCACGGCGATCCTCTCCACGCAGACCAAGGTGACTCCGGGCGATGGTCCTATGATGTCCGGTGGCAAACCAATGGGTTTCAAGATAAATATACGAAATATACTACGACACCTACAAAGAAACCATTCATAATCATTCATTTTATCTATGTTTGGGTGGAAAGATCATTCATTTTCTTCACTTTCCGAAGCAGCTTCCATGTCATCGGGGTGACTGAAGCTCCCGCTTTCAGGCTCAAAGCAGCGGGTCCAAGACACCAGGACGGTGGTTTGGCTGCGGCTTCTTTCGGCTGGCGGCTGATACTTTTCCAAAATAAAAACAAATGAATATAATAACATATGAGGTATCAAAAACAAATCTTGTACGCAGCCAAGCCAAATGATATTGTAATCACATTGTTGGCATGTGTTGGTTACATCCCAGAAAATATCCCATGTCCCCATAAAATGCTTCGTTGGTCTCCCAGCTCCAATGATGTCAAGGACATGGCCTGGCACCGAGCTTCTCAGATCGAGTGCGTGCGAGTAGCGTGTCTGGGCACTTGGTATCCTTAGTCAACTCGGTTAGAATGACTTTTCAGTTTCCCTAAGCCTTAAGCTATGTCTATAGATTCTATAGTCTATACTGTAGAGCCATTTCTGTACAGGGATTCAATACTTATCTATCTATATCTATATATATATATAGATATATAAATATATATCTTATATTAGGTTTCAATTCACCACATGTCCACTTAGATTCTTCCAAAAGTGGTGGGCGATTTTTCATCCCACCGAGGTCTGGAGGTTCTGACGTCAAGTTGGCCCAGGCACTGAAAAAGGGTCGAAAGGAAGGGTGGTTGGTAGATCCTAGATGTATGTAAAAATTGTAAAACATATATATATATATGTATATATATATATTATATTCTATATATATTATATTATATATATATGTATATGAATATTTACGTGTAGATAGACAACATTAGACAACCGCATTGCATCCACACATTGATATATGATATATGCGTTGCACTTGGATGGATATAGATGACGATTTGCCCATTGATGTAAATTGGCGAGATTGGAGTCCTTTTTCAGGCTCTCAGATTCCCCTCTCCAAGGTCTAGTAGCCAGAGCCCAGAGACATTACCGCCACAGCCTTCGTGGTATACCAAAACATTGACTAAACAAAGTAGACATCATGATGGATGGCTTAGAATCATCCTTTAACTTTAACTGCGGCTTTTGTTGTTGCGGTTTTAACTGCTGGTTTCAATTATTTATGCTGTTTTAACTGCTGGTTTCAATAATTTCCTATCCTTTGCCTACCTGCATAGACCCACTCGACAATTGAGCAATACATTTTCGAGAAGGGGTTGAAACAACCAACTACTGATATGAACCAAAACAACTACGTAATTCCCAGCCATAAATGGATGGATATCCAAAGTTGGCCCATAAACACCATGTTTCACTCCAGGAAAATGCTCACTTGGCGCAAGAGAACCTGCGGCTTCAAAAAGAAGTGGAAGAGCCACGACCTCAACTGGCGCTGTCGAAACAAAGGTGATTTTCCCATCAGGGATGATCATCAGTCCATTCCATGAAGATAGGGGTTGATATACCCATTATTAATGCCATTTGATATACCCATTATATAGCCATTATATATATATATAATTACATATTTATATAATATATATATATTAAATATATATAATATATATATATATAACTATGTAATCATCATATGCCATTTACAAGGAATTCTTGATGGAGGGATAACCAAAACCTCCATGGCCCAGGTCACATGGCAACTTGCGACACGTCCAAGGCGTGGATCCAAGGCATGTTGGCAGGATGATATTCAAACAAAGCGATGTTATCCACACCCATATATATATATTATATATATTATGGTGTATGTATATACACTGTATATTAGTGTAGTTACACTATATAATTTCTGATTTCTGATTTCTGATCACATTTCAGCACATCTCATGGCTTCGGAAAAAAAAGTCCTGGTCCAATCGCATCGCCCAGGTCTGTTGGATCAAAGCAGATCCACCTTGGACAGGATGAAGAGTGCCCGCGGCAGCAAAAGATGGTGATTTAACAAGTTCAACCATGAAGAAATGTGATTTACATAGGATTTATATATGGGACTTTCAAATACCAACTGTAATTAATGGTGATATTTTGGTGGGAATACAATGGGTATATATATATGTGGGAATATCAACAGCACTGGATTTCAGGGTACCCTTTCCGGCCATTATTGGATGAACATCCACTGACTGGTAGCTCCAGGTCTGAATGAAATTTGATCACATAATATCAAATAATATCACATATCTTAGATATCTTAGATATCTTAGATATCTTAGATATATTCGTAGATTCATCAAGGGCATGTCTAGATTCAGACCCCTTGTGAGCGTTCGAGACACCCATGAGGATGTACTGCTATCCTGCTGTGAACTTTCTAGAGGTGTCAATCGGTACCTGGAAAGAGCACGATCTGTAAGCACGATTTAGGACTGGAACGACGACAGGAAAACTATGACGGCGATACAGGAATATGAAATAATATAAAACATGTTCTTATTGGGGTAGTCGAATTTCCGTATCGCTGTAGTCACAACCGTTTTGTATCGCTGCTACAACCTTATCTCTTAAAACTCCTACATCTTGGCCTGAAAACATCAATGCGCACCAGGTGCTCGACTGAGTGTGACCGAAGCACCAGGTGCCGAGGCCGGGTGACATCAGTGACAGGTGATATCTCATACCCTCTGGTAATTTAACGTAGCTATTGAAAATGACCATTTATAGTGAGTTTTGCCACTAAAAATGGTAATTTTCCATAGCTATGTTAAAGTACCAGAGGGTATCTCATACAATTAATAAATCCACATAAATCCATTGTTGATACTTCGTGTCGATACACCCAATGGCATCCATGGTTTATTTTTTTCACCCAGACACCATTTCAGGCATTTCAAGCCGTGCGCGAAGACATGGAAAAGGCACGGAGGGGGAACCTTCACCCAAATTCTCCAGGTTTTGATTGAACTGTCCCAAGTTGGTTGATATCACCATCTTCGTGAAGACTTGGTGGAAAAGATGCACCCAAGTTGGTGGGGGATGTGAACGAAGACAACTTGGGATATTTTTCTGGACACCATATGACAGCTCGTTGAGCCCAAGCTGCCATGACTTGGTACCCAACACATCAGCTAGAACTATAGTTATAGATGGGAGATATCCCAGCTACCTATGGTTTGTTTACGGGTTAAGAACCATTTAGTAACTGGGATGCACCCCCAGGCTGTGCCGGAGTGTACACCCCTTCGACTCATGGCGATACCAGGAGATGGAGGAATTGAGGCAGAGGCAGCATGTCCTTGGTTTGGGCAGCCCAGTTGTCGCTGATGTTTTTCTTCGCTTGTGAAGCCATCATCTTGTTTTGAAGCAACCTTTAACCGTCCCTGACGTGCTTTGGATGTACAGTATAAGATGTATATATATATATATTTGATGGTTGAAGAAAACATGCTCGTATTGGCATGTAGGTTTGGACACCAAGAGCTGCTGTTTGGGTTTTTTCCTTGGCCATATCATTTCTGCTCCCTCTCGAGGTCGTGAACGAGAGAACTGGCTTCAGGCTGGAAAAGTCGTATGTGGCACTTCATGCCTCTCAGTTTTCTGCTTTCCATGCAATCTTCTTACGGGTTAGTAGGGAATGGGGGAATGACCCAATCCATACTGTAGCTATTAACATTCATCCCATTCCCCCATTCGCCCATTTCCTACTAAGCACTACGAAGTCTGGCTCACCAGCCTCACCAGCAGTTGGTTCCCAGGAGAAGGAGTCCTTGCACCAGCAACTTAATGAGACCATCCAGAAGCTGGAGGCTGCAGAGGCATTGGCAGATCAATGGGCTTACTGGGCTTACCCTCTACCCAGAAAAAGTGTCATCAAACATGGCTGGGAAATCATAAATGGATGTCAACGTTAACTAATTAAAAAGGAAACGCACATCTATAGATGGGGAATATTTTGGTGGGGATTCTTTCTCCAACATTTGCAGCAGTTTTCGGCATCGCTTGACCTTGCGCGACATTTTGTCCTGAACCTGCAATCTAGAGATAGACAATTGATTCCCTACACCCCAAACAATCGTTTCAAAAGGAGACACAAAAAAGCATAAAAAAGCAAGGAAAACACATCAACATGTCAGGAATTGTATTGAAAAGGAAAGAACACGGAACCAAAAGGAAACATCAGGAAATGTCAGGAACTGTCGGGGCCAGGCTACGGTGAAACGCCTGAACGAAAAGTGTCAAGCGCTGGAGGCTGCGAAGCCCAAGGTGCCATGCGTGCCATGGAAAGGAGATTTTTGAAGCCCAAGAATTGAGTGAAGAACATGGGAAATGGGAATCTCTGGGATTTCTAGGGTTTTTTATGGGAATTATTGTCTATCCATGAAAATGATGGGAAACCACGAACATGTTGACCATTATTGAAGGGTTCCAAGGGACAGTTTGAAACGATTTTTGGAACCTTTGTTGGGATATTAAAAGAGTGTCTTTGTTTGCAAACAATATTTGGAGTTTATCCAAACATGAGATGAAATCATCCACCAAACAAGTGGGATTTCCAACAAACTAAACATGGAACATGGCGCCACTCCCAGCGCAGGAGATATCAAGACCTTCATCGGCCATCCAACGCCAGGCGGTTTCAGTTGATCAGTGGTAGGATCTAATCCCAAAGGCAGGTCTCAATGACTGCAAATGGTATCCAGTTGATCATGCATACCCTAGTAGCCCTAGCATCCACTTGACTTATCTTCTTGAAGTATCAACCAACTTTTGTGGAGAATTGATATTTTCAAAAACGATTTTCCAAGAACAATCGCAGCTAGACAAAGTCCAGCTGCACCAATGTTACCCAGGCAGCAGAGTTGACACAGAAGTCAGACGAGCTGACGCAGAAGACGGCCGCCCGGTGGCACCTGCTGAGATAGACAAAATCACCTATTAATTAGTAGGGTGGGTAACACACTAACACGCCCAGTAGTCAGGGTTTAGTCTCATCCGGGATTGACATGAGATGTTGGATTTCAATCAAGTCCACTTGAAGTTGTTCATGTTTTGGGATCACAAAAACAGAGACAAAGGAACACGGCTCAGAGGCCGCAAGAATGCCTCCATGCGGTGGACCTATAAGTGCTTGTGGTGCATATCTTCTCCGGAAGTGGGGATAAGGGATATCCAATATCCAAGAACGAAACAAGACCTTGGGGTCACTGTCTGGTTCCCAGATAAGATACTTCGAGTGGATCACGGGCCAAAAAATGTTGAAGAATTGAGGTGTGTGACAGAAGTTTACAATCACCATCCATCATTGTCCATCATCATCTATCATCATCTCGACCTTACGCAGGTCTTTGGGCCGTTGCAACTCCCACGTAGACCTCATCCTGAGGCTGCCCTGTCGGCCAAAGACCAGGCTCTCAGTGAGAAGGTCCGCGATTTCCGAGAGCTGGTGGTCGTACGTCCAATACTGTAGGGGAAATGCTGATGAGACAATGGATTTAGGGGGGCAATTTTTGTGGAGAGTTGATATTTTCAAAAACGATTTCCAAGAACAATCGCAGCTAGACAAAGTCCAGCTGCACCAATGGGACCCAGGCAGCAGAGTTGACACAGAAGTCAGACGAGCTGACGCAGAAGACGGCCGCCCGGTGGCACCTGCTGAGATAGACAAAATCACCTATATACGTGTTTCTGTGTGCCATGGTCGGAAGTTGGATACTCACTCATACCCGCCACCTGAGCTTGGGGTCGCTGAGAGTGGATGCTTCGGATCTGCATGTTGGCAGTCGGAAATTGGATAAGATACCCATATTGGAGGATGGTCATCAGCCTATCAGTAGGGTTTTGTGAACCTATGATAAGGAATCCTGAAGGATGGTCCGGTCAGAAGACATCTTTGGGTCGCTGGGTGGTTTGCATCAGATGAGATGCTTCCAGTGGATATCCTCGTAGAGCACAACTGATAGTGGGTCAAAAAAAACGGTTTTACCTCACCGAATACGATGCTTAGTGAGGGAAAGCGCCCCAAACATTGTTAAAGAATTGAGGTGTGTGACACCATCCATCATTGTCCATCATCATCTATCATCATCTCGACCTTACGCAGGTCTTTGGGCCGTTGCAACTCCCACGTAGACCTCATCCTGAGGCTGCCCTGTCGGCCAAAGACCAGGCTCTCAGTGAGAAGGTCCGCGATTTCCGAGAGCTGGTGGTATGTTTTTGTTTGTCTAGAAATGGAATGGAAATGGAATGGCCAATTTGATAGGAGAAATGGCAAATGGTGATGAACCAATAAATTTTTGGGGCACGCTGTTTTTCAGACAAACCTATATCCACCCCAAAAATCAGATGTGGTTTTCCATATTCAAGGGCTTCCACCTCCAAAAAAACCCATGGATTTTCACCCAAAAACCTGCAGAGCTGTGAGTCGCGCAGGATGCTGAGCTGCAGGAGAAGAGGCAAGCGGAACAACAGGCCATCGAGGCCTTGGAGGCCAAAGATGCTCAACTGGACCGCGGGGAAACCCACGTAGCGATGAATGGGGCGCAGCGGGGTGAAAAATGGATGGCTTTTGAAGCTCTACCTGGTGATAAGTGGAGGATTTTTGAGTATGGAAGAGTTGTACACAGGTAGGGTGGGAGGATCCAAAGGACGGATCAGTGGTGAACTAGCAGCTTCGACCAAGGGCCAGTTGACCTTACTTGTTAGCTTTAATTGATCATAGAGGGATGACCAAAAAGCTAAGGTATGATTTCAGCCACCCGGTCTGAATTTCTCGTGGCTTTGACCTGTGGCCGGAGCCTCTCATGGTGAGGTTTGACCTCTGAACTGCAAGCAATGCAAGCAGAAAAGGATCGCTGCAATCAGCAGTTGGAGGAGAACCTCTTCAGCTGGAGTTTTGAGGTTTGAGGTTTGGGCCGTTTGATGGTGACGGATCAAGATGTGGCCAATTGGACGATGTTGGACACTAACAGTCCAGACATGTCCAGACATTGTTTTCAGCAAAGACGCAAAGTAGACACGTGCAAGTAAACTAAGTACAGTACATGATTAAACCCAAAGTCCTGCGCATCCCCAACTGCATTTTGTTGCTGCCCCTTGATTGAAGATTCACGTCCTAACCCCTTTGTAAGTAGATGTTGATCCACCGTGCTACTGTCTGTGTGTGCCCTCTTGACAATGAAGATCCGCATCTGGTTGGTGGTGTCCAATGACTTTCGCAATTTTGCAGGAAGAGGATTGGATTTTGAATCATATATAATTGAAATCAATTGAAGGAGTTGTCAGTTGGTTTTGTCTGCACAGTTTCTGATCTAGTTCTTTGACTTCATCAAATCTCATTTTTCTGATACACAATGCAAAATGCCACACGAAACAAACATGCAAAATGCGAAAAAACATGAAAAACCTATACTTTTCGCAGGTTTCCCAGTTCTTTTCCCTTTGTTCCAACCAGCCATTGGGCCCATTACAGGAGGAAGCCACCAGACTCTCAGAGAAGGAGGACGGTGGACATGCCTGGACCAAGGGAGCAGGGATGAGGGATGAATATATACAATATATATACAATATATATTAATATATATATAATATACACAATATATATATATATTGTGTATTTTGAATGCAACATAGACAGAGATGTTGAAGGAAGTTCGTGGAAACCAAAGACATCCAAAGACCATGTATATGCTTCCGAATTGGTGGATGGACTCATTGTGAAAGTGAGCATATCAGCGGCTCATTTGGTACCCCATAGTGGAGTTATATCCAAATTCCCAAGTGGACCACAGTAATCATCATGTAATCATCATGACCATAATGATCCATGAAAACGAAGAAAAGGACCATCCCACTATTGGTGCACTGTTTGCAAGGCCGCCTTGGACAGCTTGAAGAAGGAACTCCAGCGATTGAAGGAGGAGTCTACTCGGCAGGTGGGGCGATTCGGTGCTTTGCAAGAACTTTCTGCCACCTTCCTGCTGACGATTTTTATTTTTTGCACATCAGAGGTGCATCACTAGTTTTGGACAGGCTGAAACATCCCTAGTTTATCCATCCTTCCAATGACGGTTACACGGTGCACAGCCGTGTGGCCTCTTCGCAGAGGTTGCCGAAAAAGAGGAGACGTGGTGACGCGCCTCAAGGGGTTCTGGTTGTGTCGGTGTATGACTTGTCTCGGGCGGAACATTTGAATCCCCACATGAACATGCCCGGAAAGAATCAAGATTCTTCATTATATAAGGGCAAAAGATGGTTCATAATGGATGATTTTACAATGTTGGCCCTAAAAGTTTTCAATCTGTAAAAATCAGATCCCTATGTAAACACAATTAGCCCATCCATTGGGGCTGGGCATCCATGGTCAAACCGACTTTCATCGGAAGCGCCTTGAGGAAGAGTCTCAGCGAGTTGCGTGCACAGCACAAGGCTTTATCCGGGATGATGGGTTGTATAATTATAGTTGGGTTCTGGTTGGTCCAGTTTGAAAACAACAATTCATGTTTGGTTGTTGGCTAATATGCTGGTGGGTTTTGAAGGAAGCACCTCTCACGATCAACGAGAGTCTAGCCTTTCTTAAAAAAATCTTTTCAACCAACAGGACCGGTTTTCCCAGACAGGAGGATTTAAACGACCAAACGACTCACCCAACAGTCCTCCAAAAATCGCTGTGGCCCAGGAGCTGCGCGACCAGCAGGGCAAAACCTCTTCGGAGTGTCCTGGTGATGTGATGAGTTTTGGTGTTGCGATGGTGTTTTGGCCCACCTTCAAAGTGTCCGGCATGACATATGGAATGACCCGTTGGGCAATGTCGGAACCAGGTTGAGCACTCTGCAACTTCAACTCCAAGAACGGGAGGCTGGAGACTGGGATGGTGCTATTGTGCTTCCTGGACCGGATGGTGTGGGATAAGCAGAAGCTGCATAAGCTGCCAAGAGTGGAAGACCCGCTGATCAGAACTTCATCAACCTTTGGTAAAGTTCCGGAAATTCCTTTCATCAATGGAGTTGCGATCTTTTTCACTTGATGAAGTTTTGTTTTTGCCAGTGAGTTGGTCAGCTAACTGGTGCTTCACCAGCTCCAGCAGCTTTACTTCAGGTTGAGGTCGATGGCCAGCTGAAGGAGAAGGACATGGAAGCGGCACTGGGAGGGTGGACATCACTGAGGCCTTGGAAGTATCTGGAGGTATTTGGAGGTAGGGAGATTACCCAATTGATTGCCCACTAGTTTGGGTGAAGCATGGTGAAGCCATATGCATAGACCGGAAATGGAAATGCCGGGCTGGGAAGGACCTCACGATTCAGAAGCTGGAAGAGGATTCTGCACAACTCAGTGCTCAGGTGGAGCCCCCTGGAAACTTTGCAGACTGTGACTGGCAGATCTTGAAGTGTTAGAAGTGTGAAGTCTTTCCATGTCTTTCCCATGGCTGCAAACTTCCTCACCGTGATCCAGTGATCAATTGTGCCAATGATTTTCCAGGGTCTCCATCCCCCTTTGTGCCTCAGGTGACAGAGCTGGAGGGGGTCAGGGAACGTGCCGCCCAAGCGGAGAAGATGTGACTCAGCTGAAGATTTGGAAGACGTCTGTGGAGACACCAGGTTTTGGGAGCTAAACACCATGAAAGCTGGAAGATTTTGGTGTTGAGAGCTACTTGACCGGGGAAGTCTCTGGATCTTGGTTTCGGGAGCTGTTTTGACGGTGTTCCAAGGCTTGAGCCCTGGAAGAAGCGCACGGAAGAGGTTCAGGAAGCCTTCCAGAAGGACGCTGAAAAAACAAAAAGGGCCTCACAAATGCATAATGCATTAGGAATGCAACATATTGCAACATATTGCAACATCACCTGAAGTGGTAGTGTAAATAGTGGTTATTCCTATGCAGAATGTGATCTTTCAAACATAGAGGGAATAATTAATAGGGAATGTAAAAAGAACTGAAACAGCCAGCCTTTGAGTGGGGTCGGGTGCACGTTTGAAGCGAACCCTGTGAAGTGCTTGATCTCAACACAGCTGCGAGCTGCACATGAGCTCAAGAAGCATCAGTTTTCTGTGAAACATCAATATTATACACACCGTTTAGATAAACTTGGAAGGGTGAAACAAATTCTGTCAATGTAGGATAGAAATTGAATCCATGGACGCACTATACAGGGGCAGGAATGAACGAAACGTTGCGCAGTCTTGTCTAGCCGTGGTTGCTAGGAGCAAGCTCTGCGGAAACGGTACCACAACCAAATGCAGGAGAGATTGGATGGGGCTGTGGACCTGTGGACCTGTGGACAGTGGACTGGGATTTTGGCAAGAACTTCAGTTGACTACGAACGCTTGGCTCAGAAATTGGTGAAGAAACATGGGTAGTTTCGTGTTACGAAGACATGTAGTGTGGCCACAGGCGCAGCCCAAAGCGGGTCATGGGTTGGTCCTCCAGACACACGGAGGACATGAAAGGAGCCATTCGTGTCTTCGCACGCATCCGTGGGGATGCCAAGTTGACGGGCTGCGGGGACCAATCTTTCTTCACTGAAATATTGACAGACTGTGACAGGTCGGTATGAGAAAGTTGTGTTTCTATGTCGTTGTTTTTTAAGAGTACATAATCATGTCAGTCCTGAAGGAGGTTGGAAGACTGTGTCGTTTGAAGTTGTGCCTGTTCTGTATGTGAAGAAGCTCACCACCAAATGAGTACATGCCTTCTGGAACTCCTCGATGTCGAAGGCAACTGATGTCACTTCACTCTGGTAGCTCTAGTGGTTCCTGGTCCTTCGTCCTGTCGCAAGGCCCCAAAGTGCAAAGGGAAGCAGATCAGGAGGTCCCGTGGGATGGGGCCAAGGCCATGGAGGTCGGATGACGGTGAAAATGAGGGGGTTGAGATTCAGAGGTTCCACTTGAAGGACTTCAAAATCAAGGCTTTCGGAGTTCAAATCTTGGAAACCCCAGAGCAAAAACCGGCGAAGCACCCTTCCAGGGCATCGGGCATTTTTTTTATCGCGTAAGGCCGTTGAAAAACTGCATTTCGGACTGATCATATGTTGGGTTTCAAGAGAGGGCGCCAAAAAAAGCCCTTCCACCGCTCATTGCAGAAAACCATCACACCATTTTTTGACGGCTGACTACAATGAGTTGCTGGCTGCTGTGTTCGCAGGTTGCGGTCTGGCGGCGCGATGCGTTTTCCTTGGAAAGCGCGGCCAAGGATAAAAAGTCGCCACCGAAGGCACACCTGGATGGGATGGGGAAATGGGGAAGGGTTTATGGGTATTTTCATGTCATATTGTCATTGTCATAGGTATTACATGTGATTACTAGCAACATTACAACATTATAAACTAATATATAATATAACGTATCTAATTTTTTTGGGATTGCTTACAGTACATCATAGTGGCCATACTCTGGCCGTTGGAGACCGACGGAGTGCTTATAGCCTGAGCTCACACAGAAAGGACTACAACTTCGACTCCGTCTTCGATGAGCATCTTGGTTGGTCTGTTAAGAGGTGAACTTGTCCCCACAGTTGGTGGTGTCTATTCTTTTGAAAATGTAGAAAACTGATTATATGGACTAGGTTCACATATTTCTTAAAGGTCAAATTGTGAAGTTTCTTCTTTGCATCAAAGGATTACGAGATATTGCGAGCTACAGTTTTTACATCATCTTACATCTTGCTTCCATAATTTTAGGCGTCAGGGGTTTGGGGATTTGACCCCAAGCTTCAAACGGGTTGCAACAACTTGTTCTGGCATTTCTTGGATTCGCAGTTTCAACATGGTTCAGCCACTGTCCAGTTTCCAGACATGATGCTTGGTTTTCTGGAACATCTATAGTGGGAATTGGCTGATGAAATGCCTCGTGGTTGCGGTCGATTTTGAATCAATTTTCACTCGCTGTGATTTCAAGGTCTGAGAACCGCAGATGTCGAACACTTTAGATTTTTTGAAATCAAATCACCCTGGGTCTACCCAATTGGTCCCAATTGGTTGGTTCAACCCCATCCCCGAAATCATCCGAAATCCATTGTTTCAACACCCTCTTGACCCAACATGGCCATGCATCCCAGGCACAACTCGCAAGAAGACGTCTTCGCAGATTGCCGGGGGCTGATCGCTTCGGCGGTGGATGGCTTCAACGTCACAGTGTGGGGAGGCCCATCGTGGAGCCCAATTGGGTTGAATTGGGTTGAATTGGGTTGAATTGGGTTGAATTGGGTTGATGGTTGCTTGGATGATTTCCTGAAACATGATGAACCATGCTGTTTTGGGGGACGGTTCGATAGATTTGGAGGATTTTGGAGGGGGGTTCAGCTCGAATGGCCCTTCCATCAGCCTCATGGTTGCAGCATGTTGCAGCAATCTATACTTGTGAAATCTTGTGAATGGAAACTGAAGATTTTGAAATCCTGGAACTTCCCAGTCTGAATGACCTGTGCTGCACCTTCTCGGCTCGCTGTTTTCTCGCTGTCAGCAGAGCGCTCGACATGGAGGTGCCAAGCACCGGGACCGTCACGCAGATGTCATGGTCGTGGGAACGAAGGGGAACTATGATGAACAACCCTTGGACCATTGGCTCTTGGGGATTTTCCCAGACATTCCCAAACATTTTCAGACAAAACCATTTGGGTCTCTGGGATTCTCTGGCTATATCGACTTCCCAATGATTGCTGGTGAAAATCCCCCCGTGATGCAGGCGTCATCGCACGGGGCATGCCATGGCCAAGCGTGGTATGCAGTGGCCACGTGGGGATCTTGAGACTTGGACCATCGCGGGAAAATGGGGTGACCCCAATCGACCTTTATAATCCTTTCTGATCCTTTATATATCTTTGGGATGGGTGGTTGAAGCACTGACCCTAAGAGATATGTTTGACTTGTGTTCGAAGAATCTCGAATGGAAATTGCAGAAGCACACAGCTAAATTTAACAATGATTTAACCAACACAAATTGGCAGTTGAGCCGTTGAGCCAAGACAATTATCGGGATTTTCACGAACAAACAGGGGGGGTTGTTGGGTCGGATACTTCCCAGGATTCAGAGCCTTCGGAGAGACTACAGCAGCTACTGGCCCCCAAGATTTATAGCTTGGCCAAGGACACCCGGAAGACACTGAGGTATCTTGGTTCAAAAAAGGGTGACAGGATGTGACAGGTAAATTGCTGAGAGCAGGGCAAAGATGGTGCAGAATGCTATTGATCTTTGAGATAGGGCATTCAATGATTTGATCATTTGCAGCAATTTGCAACTTTCTGAAATTAAGATCTATCAATGGCAACTTTCTATCCATCCTAAGTTATCCTAAGCCATTGATCCTGGCGATACAACAGTTCCCATACCACACCGAGTTGGCATCGCCTAGGTATCTCCGTGAGATCTCCGACTGGCCATCAAGGCTCCAGTTGCAGGTGCGGTGAAAACCATTGAAGACCTGGATTTAACACCTGGTAATATCCTCTGGGAGCTTTTTTCGCTGGCAATGGAAAATCTATGAACATCTCCACTTTCAATGTGTATATAGATGTATATAGATCATTTGTGGAAGAAGTGGAGCGTGAGTAATATGGCAGTACCAGTTGAGTATCACGGACCATTTGACTAGGAATTGGACGTCAATTCCAGCCGCTATGAACTGTTGGGGATTACAAAAAGACACCATGTTGGGGTGAAATTGCTTTCACCGAAGATGACTGTAAACTCTGTAGACCTTCTATGCAGAGTTTTGGGTGCCTGTCAAATTTCGAGTCTCAATTTGTCATTTCATGTTTATATATTCAGATTTATTGAGTTTATTCTTGGCATCTACAGGCTTTTGCCTTCTCTGACCTTGGGTTCGAACATGCAAAGAGATAAGGCCGCCTCAGAATAGGCGTCCAATGTGGAATCTGTTCCCTGCAGGTCTTCCACCAGTTACAAGCCGCCAATGTGGAAGTGAACACCTTCCACTACAATGCCACTTGGCAGCTGCTTCCCAAGATGCTGTAGCAGCTGCTAGCACGTTCCATAATGTTCTTACATCATCTTACATCAAAAGGCAGCATTGTACTCGAGGTGTTCTTGTTCTAGTTTGTGTGTGTGAAGATGTATCGGGGAGCAGTGATTCAGTTTTCATCTGGTTTTCCTTGGATCGTTCTGTTGTAACACTAGACATTTCCTATACATCTAGATGCAGCTTGAAGCAGAAAGGAAGCTGCAAAACAAGAAGCCTCCTTGTGCTTCAACTTGCTATGGCTTCTCAGTCAGGTACAGGTTGCCAGGGAATCGAATGTCATCACATTGAAACAGAAATAGATTTCGGGCTAAAGGCGGCTCTACCGGAAACCCTGAAACACAAAATCAGCAGCGGTGATGCTTGAATGGGTCAAAATACCAGCCCCAGGGACTTTCTGGTAATTTTGAGTACCCTCTGGTAAATTAACATAACATAACTATGGAAAATCACCATTTTTAATGGGAAAATCCACTATAAATGGCCATTTTCAATAGCTATTTTGACATAACCAGAGGGTAATTTCCAAAAAAAAATCCAATTATGGATTTCACCCATTTTTATTCGTGCCTCCATTGCCAGAAATCCAAGGCATTGATGAATTCATTGACGAAGCTGGGGCAGTGGCCTTTGGCCTTGGCGCAATTTTCATCCATGAGAAGCTGGGATGAGAACTGGGTTACCGGGGGACGACTGGGAAGCTGTCCAAAGTTGTCCACTGTTGGGTTGATGACAAATCAGATGGGCACTCCACATTTTTCAAGACCATTCTATACCGAACTGAATAGCCGGTATCAACAATTCCATTTTTCGCAAGAAGATGTCATTGCCGGGTGCTTTGGCGCATCCTTTTTTTCGAAGTCCAGTGGAATAGGAACAACCCTGCCACAGGACAGCGCAGCCTCCAAGTGGATTTGCCAAGTTTCAATACCCTGGCGATGCCATGTGACTGGAGATGTTCCCTATGGATCCGACATTGTGCTCTGGATCCAATGCAGATCACGACACATTTGTGGCTACACTGATATTCTGGTTGGTGGTTTGGAACATGAATTTTATTTTTCCATATATTGGGAATAAACATCCCAACTAAGTATTATTTTTCAGAGGGATTGAAACCACCAACCAGTATTACTTGATACATCTTGATATGTCACTTTGACAGCAAAGAATTCTTGTAGACTTTGGCATTGGCTTTTGCTCTCAACAAAACTGTTTGATTGCTTGCGGCTGTGCTTGGAAACCACTCGACCACTTTGGCATCGTCAATGCACCCCTGTCCTGCAGGCGCACTACACTACTCTTTCACCCAGAACTTGATCGGAGCTGTTGCTTCGATCAGTAGCTGGACCATGTTGTTTCGCCACATGCTGGGATTCATCGAATCAAACGAATAGATGAGATTGGAGGTAGCAATTCTGCCACAATTGATGTGTTGGAGTTTTGAGGTTCAGGACCTCAAAAAAACATCAGCGCTTAGGCAACTGCGCAGAAATTGGCTTATGGCAAAGGTCCTTGGAGATCCTTGGCAAAAATGTTTGGCCAGAACTGGGATTCAGTGCCATTGTGGTCTATCCATCATTGCTGAGGCTGTAATTTCCACGAAGTTTCATGGCCAGCTAAAGTGGGGCTGGCCTTCAGGCCGGGACTGACCAGACCAGGTGTCTCCAGTCTCAGGATCTTTCAGACACTGGTGAAACGGAGCCTTGAGATGGATGAGAAGCCACAGAGTGCCTTGAAGCTGGGCTGAACAGGGTGGCATGGGTTGATCCATGCCCGGAGGTCAGTGTCATTTTCATTCATGTTCATTCATTTTCTGGGTTCCATCATGAGGGCCTGGAATGCAGGCTGTCACGTTTAGTGCCATGGTTGCCCCTGAGGATCAATGCATGCGAGAAGGCATCGAATTGGTTAGGATCGGGATGGGGTTCAGCCAGTCCAAAGTCGGCCCTGTGTATGACATCAGCAGCATTCCTGAGGTCCTCTCAGGATTGTTCCATCTCCTTGTCAAAACCCGTGATGTTGAGCAAACTTCCATGGAACTCTGCCCAAACCCACCAACATTCCCAGATAGTGGCTTCTTAAAATTGAAGTGCCCAGTACCCTAAAACTGACTATTGGTTTCTCCCAAAAAGCATCCAAAAGCGACAACAATTGGATGATTTTTGGGGGCCTTGCAGGAGCCTTTGGATGTTTGGAATGGATGCCGCGAAGCACAGCACGGCCAAACCGCATCAGCTTCAACTCCCTTTCCAGCGCCTCTGGAGGTGGAAATCATGTGAAGATGAACGTGTAAGCCACAGTAACTTTTGTGTGTACCATTTCTACCATTTTGTACCTGGATATTCAATGGTGTTTAACATATATTGACCATGAATATCCAATAATACTGCACATAATTTGTGACAATGAGAAGAGGTACAAGCACTTACGATTCAAAACCGTTGGTAGACTGTTCGCACTCCACCAGGCCGCTGGTGGAGAAGCCTCTGGGCTTTTTCAGCCACGGAGGAACCGAACAGAAGCCTTGCTGCAGGTGATGATGTTGTCGAAATCTGGGGAATGTAGGGTGCTTGTCGTCAGCTTCCCGATTGAAATGGCAATTTCTGGATGACCCCACATCACCCCACAAAGATGAGTAAGGCAAAAAAGATGATATCCATGGATCACCAGTAGCACATGGTGATCGATCACCCAGGAATTAGCTGCAATGCTTTGTTGAGCTGCTGCGAGAGCCTCGGCCTGCTTCAAGCCACCATGCTGTTTCCGAAGCCATCCAAGCCATCCAATGTTGGGGGGTCTGGTTTCCATCCGCTTCCCAAGGAAGGGAGCGCAGTGGTGTCAAGCGCTGGGTCGTTTGGATTGCTTTGGGTACCGTGCAGCCCCAGATGTGGTGAGTTTCAACTGCGGCATCAGCGCCTGTGGCCAGGTGGGATTCAAATCATCTCCGTCCAAATAAATCATCGCCATTTGGATTGTTGGGATAATTTATGGATGATCCCCAACTTGATGGATCATTACTGGCATCCAGGTAGAGGATTCATAGTGAATAATTAGTGTCAGCAGTACTGAATACAATCTCAGCAGACGTTCGAATCCGTCTAGACTTGCCATTTGCCATGGGTTTGATTGGCCTCTTGTATTATTTTGGGAACCCAGCGACATCCAGCCGAAAAAACCCAGATTAATTAATTTCCCCAAGAAAAAACAGGCCGGCCGCTGGGAGTATTCCTTGGATCTTCTTCAACAACTTGGAGGCTTGGGTGATAAATTGAGGCTGAGGGAACCGACATCGCCATCTTTCTGGAAACTGTTTCTCCTTTTTGAATCTGTTTGATACATGCTGAGGCAAAAAAAATCGTTGTCGCAACAGCCCAAAGATTTGAATCCAGCTTGGCATGCTGGGTCCCATCAAGATCCGCACCAAAGTCCAGGCAGCCAAGATGAGATCAGCTCTACGGCTGCCATCAGCCTCTTGGTGTGGGGGGTTTAGGATAGCTTTGCTGGTTTACTGTGCTTGGAGCCCCACCATTATTTACCACCAGCCCATACCAGCCCAACAAAGCCACTATTGAGTAACCGGGAGGTTCATGCTCTACCCCCGTGAACAATTGATCAGGTGTTGGTAGTGTTGTTTTTTACTTTAGATGAAGTAAAGTCAAAGGAATTGATCCTGTTGTAAACCTAGCAACCTTGCCATTCTGTGGAAGTGGCGCACAGCAAGATTCAAAACATCGTTTGCTTCCCTCCTTGGAAAAAAAAAACAGCTACGCTTTTCCTGCTCACAAAAGTAAACTCTGGTTTTCAACAATTCCAATAGTATCTCCCAGGCCATATATATAATCCACCAGAATTGAACTATTTCGGACAAAATCGATCAATTGACACCCAGCCCGCCAATAATTTGTTTTGCTTCCCTCTATATACATGTACACACATTCTTATTCCCGGAGTGTCTTCCCTAATTTCTTGCTATTTTTCTTCCCTGTTTTGCTTCCCAAATTGTCTTTCCTATGTTTCTGAAACATAGGGAAGAAACACCCAATTTCTTGCCACATTTCTCTTCCCCATGTTTCTTTTTCAATAGTGTTCTTCCCTATGTTTCTCACCTATTGTCAAGTCTTGTAATCTTGCTTGGTTTCAAGCATTATGTCTTTAGGACCGTTGCCAGAGTCCAAAGGAAACAAACTTGAACAGGTGGTGATGAATTTACATGTCTTGGTGGCAGATTACAGCTTCCCACTTTGCTCAAACATATTAAACTGTACGGAATTACGGCGCGCTCCTCTCTTAGGTCGAAACTGGCAACCCTAACCTCATCTAGCCTCTATCAATTTCTGAGAAAACGGCTGTTGGCACGAAATCTCACGGAACGGATGTGGCAGTGGGACTATCATGGACAATCCCGATGACCAAAAAATCGAATCACTGGTTCGCTTTGATATTTTCGGCACTGTTCACAGAATCTCCGAAACAACTTTGACACTATGTCGGACTATATCTACATAATTCTACATAGGTAATTGCGTCAAAATCATGTTTTGACTTTTCAGCAAAATAGGAGTCTGTGGCAGCCATATGGCCCTTTCTGAAAATGATGGAAAGCGTAAACTCTAGAATTTGTTGCGGCCTTAACAGGTACAAGTTCAGTTGAAATCGTCAAAACCGGTGGTGGAACCATGCAGAGCTGCAGGGAAGATGAATATGAGATTTTCCACTTTAATTTGCTTACCTTGGTAGTGGAAATCTTCGAAACTTTGAATACATCTGGAAAAGTTGCACCAAACTGAAAGTGGGGTTTTGTGCAAGTGATGCTTCTCTGGCTTGGGTGGTGGGTGATCTGTCAGTAATCTGTGAGAATGTTTAGGCCACTCAACCAACAATTCTTGGAAGATTTGCCCAGCCCTGCATCTCAAACAGCCAAGGTGGATGTGACCAGAAAGGGAAATGGCTAGCCGTACTTCAAATTCTTGAATCGATGAGCCTGGCCCTCTCGTCACCAAATCAGATTTGCTACTTGGCTGTTGACTCGTCCATTTCCATGGTATGAATATGGTATGGAGCAAAGATAGTAAGCAACTAGATGAACAGGCTATGCAGGTGTCTTTGGCGGTCTCAAGAGTCTCTTCTTATTGGAGACCACCAGCGCTTACGAAATTCAAAGTTCTGAAATTCAGTGAGAATCCGTGAGCAATTCTAATGGTCCACTTGAGCCATGAAAGCTGCTCTTGTTGGTTGATTATTGGTTATGTGGGTTAGGTGGGTTATGCAACCCATGGTTTTTCTTGATGTTTGTTGGGGGTGGTGAACATGTTACAACCCAGTCAGTTGGGACATCAATTGACCAACATGATAGGGCGATCCCTGAGGTCTCAATGCCGCGATCAGCGGATTTGAGAGCGGAAGCCAGTGGCCGCACGGCTGAGATGGCACAATGGGAGTGGCCATTTGGCCATTTGGCCATTTCACATCGAAAATCCTCCAAAGCTAATTCAAATTGAACCTACAATTTGTTTAAGTCTCCCGGAATATATCATAGATAAAATAAAACGTACGTATATTGGAATTGGCATGGCTCGCAATTGGGTCTGCGCACAAATCCCAAAATGACAAACAAAATAGTTTTACAAACAATTCAAATCGCTAGAATGTTCGCTCACCATGGCTTTGAACATCGACGCATGCCTACGTTTTGTTGCAACACGATGTCCATCACGCTTGTTTCCCCAAACGATTGGGCCACGGTTGCACTCATGAGTTTTGCTGGACAAATGTTCCTTTTTTTCCCCAAGCGCCAAAAGTATCTAACTCCACTTCCATGGTCCTTCGAAATTCGATGGAAAAACCACCACAGCATCCACCAAATGCACAGCCAGGCAACGCGCCATCCATGGACTGATGCAGCTGATGGACTCATCGGCTGCAGATGAGTTGCTTGCAAACATTCGATGGTCGCTGGTTTCCCGTGAAGTTTTGAAGAATTTGTTGGCAAATTGCCCAGTATTAACAGGATTGCAATGGATTGCACTCATCGTTCCTCCCACATTGGCATGCAGATGGTTGCTGCGATGTGTAATTCACTGGTGAGGCAAAGTTTTGCGAGCGGAATTCGTGCGTGCGCACGTGTGAGCCAGTCCCACTGGAGCCTTCGTTTGTTGAGTTGGAGCCTTTGGCAGCCATGGTGGGGATTCCAGGGGGGTCCCAAGGGGGGTCCCAAGGGGATGGGATCCACATGGCGGGGATCGGAAAAACTGAGGATGGATTCTCAGGGATTTCCCATCAACGAGATTTGTCGAAGCCAGAGCATCGAGAGCATCGAGTCATGTCAGAACGGCGAAGCAGTGAAGGCCACCGCCCGACTGGGGAAGATATTGGATGGATATGGATGGATCAAATTCAGCCACTGGAGTCACTGATGTTTAGGTCAGATGAATGACGAAGGTACTAACGCTGGCGTTAAGTCGTATCAGCTTGTAAAAGTCGTATCGGGAGGCCGTGCGCCTGGAAAAAGTTCAAGTTTGGCATCACCACAACTTTTAGTAATTGAACAATTTCATTGTTTTGGGGCCGTGCGGCTGGAAAAAGTTCAATTTTTTTATTGCATTGATTTTAAAAAAATATATTTGATCATTCTTTCAAGGGGGCAAACGCTGGTTGCTGCTTGCCTGCTGCTTGCCTGCTGCTTGCCTGCTGCTTGCCTGCTGCTTCCCTGCTGCTTGCCTGCTACTTGCTGCTGCTTGCTGCTGCTTACCTGTTGCTGCTCACCTGCACCTGCTGCTTGCCTGCTGCTTGCCTGCTGCTTGCTGCTCCATGCTGCTGCTTGCTGCTTTTTGTTGCTGCTTTGCTGCTGCTGCTGCTGCTGCTGCTGCTGCTGCTGCTGCTGCTGCTGCTGCTGCTGCTCTGCTGCTTGCCTTGCTGTGCTGCTCTTGCTGCTGCCTGCTGCTTGCTGCTGCTTGCCTGCTGCTTGCCTGCTGCTTGCTGCTGCTGCTGCTTGCTGCTGCTTGCTGCTGCTTGCTGCCTGCTGCTTGCTTGCTGCTTGCCTGCTGCTTGCTGCTGCTTGCTGCTGCTTGCTTGCCTGCTGCTTGCCTGCTTGCTGCTGCTTGCCTGCTGCTTGCCTGCTGCTTGCCTGCTGCTTGCCTGCTGCTTGCCTGCTGCTTGCCTGCTGCTTGCCTGCTGCTGCTGCTGCTGCTGCTGCTTGCCTGCTGCTGCTGCTTGCCTGCTGCTGCTGCTGCTTCCTCCTTGTGCTGCTGTTGCTGCTTCCTCCTCCTGCTGCTGCTTTGTGCTGCTGCCTGCTGCTGCTTGCCTGCTGCTGCTGCTGCTTCCTCCTGCTGCTGCTGCTGCTGCTTCCTCCTGCTGCTGCTGCTTCCTCTTCTGCTGCTGCTGCTGCTGCTGCTTCCTCTTCTGCTGCTGCTGCCTCTTCTGCTGCTGCTGCTGCTGCTGCTGCCTCTTCCGCTGCCTCTTCTGCTGCTGCTGCTGCCTCTTCTGCTGCTGCTGCTGCTGCTGCCTCCTGCTGCTGTTGCTTCCTCCTGCTGCTGCTGCTTCCTCCTGCTGCTGCTGCTGCTTCCTCCTGCTGCTGCTGCCGCTCGTACAAACATTTTGCCGAAACAGAAAATAACAGTCTCGGTCGCCTTGTTTGGCGCTGACGGGAGGTACGGGCGGGAGACACCAGCAGAGAGAGGGAATGTGTCTGGCTGGTTGGAATGAAACATTGCAGTCGCATAGCGCGGTTGTGTCGCTGTGCTCACCAACTGCGCCATCTCGCACCATCTCGCAAGGCAGCGCAGACGGCAAGACGGCGCAAGACGGCGCAAGACGGCGCAAGACGGAACAGACACAACAGACGGCGCAGACGGAGCACCGACAAAACCTGCCACGCTTTCCGCCCGCAATGGAATGAAGGTTTTTTTTTCCAATTCGTAATTCCTGGGCGGATAGGACAACAAACTTCTTGAGAGCTGTCCACGACATTGATGCACATCGCGCCAGCCATAGATTTGGTTGCGGAAAACAAGGGGCCCCCATATCCTTATATCATCCTAGATCACAGCCCTGCCAATAGGATTTGCTACAGCTAACCCACTTGCATTGCAAGAAATTTGAGGATGTACCAATAGGGGTTTGATTTGATCACGCGACGCAGGACATCAATATAATATATTCAAATCCAATAGGGTTAGCTGCCGAAAATTTGTTTGTATTAACTTGTGCCCTTCAAAATCATCGCTGTGCGCAATGCTTCGGCTACTTTTAACTACATCTCCAAGTATAGATGAAACAGGCTGTGCCATGGTGATTCTTCTTCCCTGATGTGACTTTCCACTACCTGATGTGAGTTCTCCGTATCGCCGCCGTGCCATGGGGATGATGTGACTTTTCCCGCCTGATGTGACTTAAGTACGGTGTTAGTACACATCAAAAACCAAAGTGTATCTTGAAGACGTTGGATGACGGTGTGTTTGCAGGACATTTCTGTTTGCAAAGACACTGTGATAAGACACTGTGATCAGTGATCAGTGATCAGTGATCATCGTCGAAGAAAACGAAACAAAGTGCGCATGCCTTATCGAGTCGTTGCCGCGACAGGATGCAGTGGAGCAAATGGAAGTGCTGTCGCTCGACCGGTCCAGCTACAGCTGTTTGGTTTTTGGGATGTTTTTGGATGTTTTCCAGATCCAGCTTGACCGGTGTGGTGAAACAATGCAGTGATCAGTGTCGCAGTTGGGACCACATCCTCCAATATTTGTCCAATGATCATCGTCAGTTTGGCGAAGAGCTGTGGATGTTTAATCCGTGAAGTCAGTCTTGATACGTTCGCTTCAAACTCTTTAGGTTGTCAATGGGATATGGACACAGGGAGAGTTCGAATGGTTTGGTCGACATTCATTTGTTTAAAGTGAAAAACACCAATGAGAATATGTGGTTCTGGAAATTTAAGCGGCCCCCAACAAGTGTATTTACCTACCAAACAACCAACCATAACCAAGCCATAAACCAACCCTCAAACCAAGCCTCACACCGAGAGGATTGAGAGGTTCCCAGAGTGCCGTTTGGAGCACCATCTGTTTGACGGTTCCAAAGCCGGGCCAAGGCATGTCTCCTCATTGCGTCGCATCACGGAATGTCTGAAAAAGCTGACTGTGGGGCTTGTGGGGAAATTGGGACTATGGTGACTATGGCACTATGGCAATCCTGATCTTCAAAGGGACTAGGAACAGTGAACCCAAACAATCACAAACATGGATCTCATATCATCTCCTGGAAAATGGAAGCGCATGGCATTTTGAGGGAATCAACCTTACTTGTAATCTGTGAGGGTAGCGGGAGTTTCCTACAGAACATGCGACCAGTCATTCTGTTGGAATTCAGCAGTCACTGGACGGAAAGTTTGATACGTGTTTGACAGTTTGATATGTGTTTGATATGTTAAATATGTTGGATATGTGTGATATGTTTGGTATGTTTAACATGCTTGATATGTACGATTCCCACCCTGACACGCGTCTCCATGCAGTGGAGCAGTCAGTGATACCAGAGGATTACCATTGGGTCACCAGTGAGGAAGCGACATCGGATGATATCATAGTGATGTTGATTGGTCCTCCAGAATCCGGCCACCACAAGTGTGGATCTGCCATGTCTCGAGTTGTAAATTCCAATCCATTTCCGAGATATTTCTTTGCAAATGGGCATTTGAGATGAGCATTTGAAAGAACAAAAGATAGAAATCAAGATGAATCATTGCAACAGATTGCAGCAGCCTGGGCTGGATGCAGAGACGGTTTTACATTGAGGTTTGCCTACGGCCAAACTGGTGCTGGCAAGACGCACACCATGTGACCCCTGGATGTTCTGGATGCGGCTTTGGATCTTCCAGTGTGGACCCGGGTCAGATGCTAAAGACCTGGGTAAAGCAACTGGTTTGGTTGATAGCGGGATGGGTTTATTTGAATATTTGCCACAGGCGGAGGAGTGGTTCGACCCTGTTCAACATCTTGTTTGGTTGTTTTGGCACCTAATCATGTGGAAGTACTGGGACATACCAAAAGTTCTTCACGGCAATTTTCTTTCCTGGAATTGCAATCATTTGCTGAAACTGCTGAGGAAGATATATCACAAAGGCTGTACAACCAAAGTACCTTACCTTTGTCATTGAGAAACCGCTGGATTTCAGAAATCCTATGGGGGGAACGATTTAATCAATGCAGTTTTTTTGAGGCCCGAATGCTGGCACTCCCGCTTAAAAGGGGTTGTATTAGTGGCTTCCTAAGTGCCATGTCGTCCCCAAAAATCTCCCAAGAACCACGGAGTTGATGCTAGTGGAGGTTGCTTGCTTTGAACATACTAATCAAATCTAGTCATTCTCCAAGAAAGGACATCATTCCCTTTGCAGATCACTTCTCCCCAGCATCGTTTCCAATCGTGATTACTGGCATATTGCTGAAAGTATTGGTATGGGTGAAGATTGAAGATCCCGCCCCACGGTTGTTATTTCACTGTGAGACCCCCGTGGATGTTGTTCCACTTGTACGAACCTTTCATCATCCACTTTTGGAGGGTTTCCAATTTTGTTTGTTCCCAATTTTGAACTATGCCTCCGTTTCCATGATGCATTGGCTGAACAGACAATATCATTGTTATGGATTGTATCTATCTATTTTGTTTATCATATTCATATAATATAGCTTGAAGAACTTGTGCACACACTCCTGCACCCACCAGATACACCACCATAGCATCCCCTCACCAATCTCCAGGTATGGTACTGATGTCCACCACTCAGCGACCAACCATGCTATGTGGAACCCATGTGGAACGCATTGACGTACCAACTGCTTCACCCAACCTGGTAACCTCCTGTCACCTTTTGTGAGTGTGCCCACAACTCTTGCAGAATTACATATGTGAAGGGAAAATTGAGAGAAGTCCTCAAAGTTCATGGAAAATTCAATCGGGTTTCCTGCAGAAATCCCTTCATAGGCCAAAGATTGTATTTGGAACTCCCAGAATTCGGCTTTCCATCCTACTTTTACCGGGACTCCAAAAATCAGTTTATCAGTTTATCCGACTTTCTCCAGTATATCCCATGTATCCCATTACATCCAGCCTGCTAACTTGTACCTGGTTACCAGGCCATGCCTGGCCTGGTACCTCGAGCAGCAGAGGACTGAACATCCGGATATGTTTTTTTGGATTTTCCATGACTGATGGGGTGAGACATTACATGGGATTTAATGGGATAATATATGGTAATGTTATAGCTGGTTTATCCATCAATGGGATATTCAGGAACCAATGGGAAATCTTCGAAAGGGGACCTTTGCAGATGGCCACGTGATGGTTTCAGGATGGATGAGATCTGATACTGCAGTTCATACATCAGTCAACAACACTTCGTAAAGATGAGAAAGCTTAGGCAGCAGGCAGCAGGTGGCATAGCAGAGAATCGAATAGCTCTCCTGTTTTTTGTGGGAAAGTTGTGGTATCAGTATCAGCCTATGGCATTTGCTTGTCGGGGGTTTGAGTTTGAAATATCATGCACCTCCCATTCGCCATGCAAAGGACTCCAGTCATCAGCAGCAAATAGTGCCTTGAGCACTTCACACTAAATGCTGTTTCAGGATGTTTGATTATGGGGCAAACTTGCCAACCGCCCCCAACCGTAACCCCTAAAAAAAAATGGTTTCGCTAGAACCACCAATTCAACGAATTCGTGTGTGTCCATTGATACCCCGCAGGAACTGTTCACTGTGCTCAGTCGCGAGCTCACTGGGGGTAAACCAACAAAGATGGGGGTTTCAGTAGCAGATGGCAGATGATGGCCAAAAATAGAGGTCAGAGAATTGTCTGCCATACAATTTGAGCTTGAGTACCCAAATTTGATGACACCACTGTTCGCCCTGAGGAAGATACGCGCATGAATGTGAGTCCAGGGTGGTTTGCTCGATGTTTGAGCCGACAACTCAGCTGGCAGCTGCACTTGAAGATCAACTGACTTGCCGTAAACATAAACAATTTATCCAGGGTTTCAGCTGGGTTTTATCCGGCTAAGGACATCCTGAAGCAACATCAACTGATCAAATCCTGTGTTGCTTGATGCTTCCGATTAACCCTCCCATTGGGTGCGCTGTTTCTTCCCCTCCCCAGGTGCTTGGTTGAGAGCCCCATGTGGTGGGACCCTGAGGTTGTATCGTGACGACCTGGTCGATCTTCTCTTTACCAAAGCAAAGGCCCTGACTTATCTGAGCGGACATGACACATTGATATTATACATACGTATTATATCGTATTATCTCTATATATATATTTATCATAATATACACACATATATATAGACATAGACATTGATGCTGATGGTGATGCGAAATCCCCTGTTGTCTCCCAGACACTCACATACTAGTATGCTTGACTCGACTGGAACGGAGTCTTTGAAGTCGAATTCTGCAAGTTTCAACCTCCCATTCTCCTTGAGACCACTCGAAAAATATGAAACAACCAAAGCTGGATGCATGGAAACATGTCAGCATAGTCTTTCAATCTTGCAACTTTAGCCATAAAGTGGCCGTAGAACAAGCAACGCCAGCCGCATTTTCCAGGGGAAGGTGGCACCAGTGCTGGACATCAAGAAGGATCCCCGCGGGACCGTGAAGGCGCGAGCTGCGCGGGAATGGGACTATGCTAGGGGGTTTTACCAACAACAAATTAACATCCAATAAGCCGACAAGAAATGATGGTAAGCGATCAACACACATATGAAACACTATTGTTGGTTAAGTGATCAACAGAAGTTAAATTGTTAAGTGGGGATATTGAGCCAACAATACTGGTTTGGGTATAATCATGAGGCAATCATATAGGATTACAATAGGTATTTCCACTGGGCTGCTTGGAGGATTGTCACAATTGGTGGTTGGTAACCCTGGTTAGCAGATCCCTGAGATGGTGAATAGCTCATAGATATTGGGAAATCACTGCCTGAGAGTCAGCTCGTCGTTGCATCAGTGCTTCACTCAGCTGGGCCACAGGTGGACAATGCTGTGGAGATTGAGGCCACGGGGCGAGCTGAAGACAAAACATGCTAAACGATGCGATTTGTTGGGAGTACATACCCATACCAATATTTATAAGCCTATAAGCATACGGATTAAGTTTGTCTCATGTCCACGATTTGGATTTTGATTCCAGTCCCTTTTCATTCATATCACATATGGAATAACTCCAGGTTGCCTTCTGCAAAACAGGAGGGTTTTCTGACCCCGACAGGTGGGAAGTCCCCAAGATCTGCAGAAAGCCATTCTGATGGGCATGGAGCGGCGACATGTGACCTGGCCATCGCTCCATTTTTTTCAGGACATGCCTGACACACACCCCAGAAAAAGTGGAAGGCAGTTTGGCTGTTCAGTGGGGTGTTGCCCTGGGATGGTCCAACTCAACATGGTGAAATATTCTTGACACTGCCTATATTTGCCCAAACCATTTCCAAAGCTGATCCGAGTCTTTGAGGTTGCCGCTACGAAGATGAATGCGGACTCATCCAGGCCACAAGAGAAGTTCCCACAACCATTGCATGCCATGCTTGTCTGATCTTTTTGGTTCCATAGATGTGCATTTTCAAAGCAAATTTCATGCAACTATCATTTGGAGTGCACCAGAAATGGAGACTTGGTTTGATTTGGCTAAGGTTGCCCGACATGTTTGATCATTTTGCGTGAAACATCAGAGTGACCATTTTACGAGGCTAGCCGCCCTCTTTACCCCCACAGGACTAGAAATGCGGTTCTGAAGTCAAGTGTTTTCAGGACCGCGGACGAACATTTGCCCACAGACTTGTTGCCTCAGGTCTCACTTGATATTCATTGTGACCATTGAGTGTACCAACAAAAAGTCCAAGCAGGCAATCGGTCATGGGATTCCAGATTTAGGCCTGGTGCCAAGATAGAAGAAGGATGATGAATCCTACAAGTCCAAGTGCTACTCTGGTGCCGACTTCCAGATCACGCTGGGTTGCAACAGCCATACGAGAGCAAGGATTGGTCACAAGCATAATAATCCATTGTAAATCTATGTTTGTGTGGAGTGTAGTAGACTTCATGTTTGCCTTCAAATATGCCGGAGCCATCGGGAGCAGATCCAAGTGTTGGTGGCTTTAGGTCCAAGTTTTGGGAAACACGTTTGATGAGCCAGGTCTCAAGTGGCAAGCTCACCTTGTGCGATTTGGCAGGTCTGCTTTGGGTCCAATCTACAGTTGCCATGGTTTTGGGATGTTTTGGGAGATTAGCTTGCCCCTATTCATTAAATCGTCCAAGCTAGGGAAGAGCCATGTCATCATGTGAACATTGGATGGGCATCCGTTGAGTACGGCCTGAGGCTCTGAACGGCTGAAGAAGAGCGAAGTCACGGGCGAGCAGATGAAGGAGGCCCAGTCCATCAACAAATCCTTGACGGCCTTGGGCGATGTCATCGAGGCGCAACACTATCAACACTGCAGTGAGGCCTCAATTCCTCTATGAAGATCCAATAAGATCCATTTGCTATCATAAACTCTAGTACTGCAGTTTCTTAAAGTCACCATGGGAGATCATGGAGATCAGTAGTGAGTCAGACTTTGATGTACCGATCTGCAGTATACCCAAAACTTCAATCCTGTTGAGACACCGCAGCAAGGCCTTGACCAAAGGGCAAAAGCATGTGCCATACCGAAATCATCGCCTGACGTTCACCACTCAGAGATGCGGTGGCGACCGTGGGACTTATTGAAGTTGGTGGTGTTGATGTAAGATTTTTCAGGAACATTTGGAATGGCAGCATATGGCAGCACCCAGGTCCAGGAAACGTTGTGGTACAGGATGGTAAAGTTAGAACATGTTACAACTTCAGTCAAACTCTCCTTTGTGCCTCTGAGAGAAATGAGTGCCAACCCCAAAGCCACTGAGCCATTCGAGCCATGCTCCATCTCCACGTGCATTTTACCTGGTGGCCGCAAATAGTTCTCCATGTTGTTCCATTTCCATGTTGCAAAGCCACTTCCATCACCCAAGTCACCAAGTCACTTGAGGCAATTGCTGAGCGATTCCTTGGGTGGCAATGCCAAGACCTTGGTGCTGACCTTAAGGGCGATGGAGGGATCCACGAAACTGATGAAAAAAATGGTTGTTTTTCATCATATATATATCATTCATATGTCATATCCATTCCATTTTGCATCAGCACTTAGCACTGTCAGCACTCCAGTTTTTTCAAAGGGCCCAGCTGTCTTCGGCCTTTTCCCTTTGGAAACCTTTGGAAACATGGCCCGCCATGATGCCATGCCTGAGATGTTTGTGAACTGCTCTCCCGCTTCGGGCAATTTGGACGAGACGTCCGCTGCGTGGCTTGGCGAAGTTATAAAAAAATGGTTGCCTGCAGGTGTAGCTATCATTGAGGGGAGCTAACAATGGATGAAAGATCATGGAAGATCATAGGAGTTGGTAGTATAATTTTGTCTGATGTTGTATGATGTAGCAGGATGAGTGATCAGGAAATAGGATGTTCCAGGATGTACTTCGTCGCAGTGGAAGATGATTGCAAACAGAAGGTAGATTTTTGGGTCAAATTTTTGGTCAATGTGTTTCTTTCTGGGATAACCTTTTAATATATTTTAATATATCTGCGGCGAGATGAGGAGTGTGAACTTGATCAGCAGAGGAAACAAGGAATGGCAAGGATCATGAAGATCATGAAGAGGTGATGATCAAAAACAGAAACAAAGCTTCAGATTTTTCGATGCCTGGTGCGGCGCGGAAACCACATAGGTTGGCCTATGCAGTGAGAGCAAAGAACATCGTCAACAAGGTCCACTTAGGGTGGCGAGTGTGGAGTGGAGAGTATTCCCTGCAGGGTTCGAGGGATGCCCTGGCCACAGGTGGAGAAGAATTCCGATAGCCAAGAGGTGGCCAGGCTAAAGAAGGTGATCCAAATGCTGAGTACTGAGCTGGAGCAGGCGAGCCTGCGAGCCCTGAAAAGATCCAGGTGATATCAGTATCATCATATTATGATTCATATATATATATATATTCATATGATATGCCCATGGTAGCTTATACATGCTTGTAGCGGCATAGCCGCGTAGAATTACAACATATCTCACTTTCGGTTGCTTACTGAACACAAAAACAATAGAAAGATGAATCATGACAATATACTGTAGTTCTTTACCGAATCATCACCCCCGCACAGAAAACCTGGTTTAATAGTAGCGTGTCCAACTAGTTACTGTATTGACGTGGTGTCTCATCTACAGTTATTTATTCTCAAGGGGAGGGGATCGTAGATTATGCACCGCAGGTGTTTAGAGATGGGCCAGTTCCGAAAAGTAGTGAGCTGCGATTTTGACTCTGTGGATATTGCACATGGCGACACCTAGACCAGTGCTGTTTTCAGGCTTGAAATCCCAATTCAATGGGGTGACGCGGTGACGAGGCACGAAAGAGTGGAGAAGCACTTCCTGAGCTTGGCGAGAAAGAAGTACCCGAGCCGGGTGATGAAAAGGTCAAGCCATGTTCAACCTGCCTGGGAGATATTAAGGGAGTGAAAATATGGGTTCCCTGACATGTTGGGGACCAAAAACCCGCAATTGTGTCTGTCTGCATTGGAATCCAGGGATTTGTTTGTCATATAGAATACACGTGTATTATAATGTATTAATATGTATTATATGATTATATGCATATATGTACGTATAATAATGTATAATATATATATATATCACATATTATGCATTATCACTGGGGCTATTGGGATTCTTCTAGCCAACGAGTATGAGGGATTTGCGCAAATGCTTTGAGCGATTCTCCTTCTGACTACTTTGCAACCTATTTGAGACTTCACAAAAGCCGTCAAGGGAAAAAATATGACGTTGGAGGACCACATTGGACATAGCGTTTCGCATTGCAGCCCATCTTGTGGCTTGAAGACTCTCCCATGATCACAAATCACGAACCATCACGAATTAGAGCGGATGAAGGCGAATCAGCAGTCAGTAATTATCACGAATCATGGATCACCACAGATCATTGCCGAACATTCCGGATCATCACTCATCGTCGCGCAATATCCATCACTGTCATGACCATCACCAAGGCACATCATGGTCGGTGTCGGGGTCAAATCTAACCCTGGTGGCCCTGGTGAACATTCAAATACTTGGTCAATGAATGTCCAATGGATGTTCATCCCCCGTATGTTTGAGATACCTGGTCAAATGATACCAACTTCCAGACCTCTCCCACTTTGGGATTTCTTGCCATTTCTATCTTGCTTCGGAAAAAGAACGGAAAAAGGATGAAAAAGGCTAGTTTCAAGACATCAACGCTGATTGTCAATATTTGTGTTGACGGCTGACAGATCTTGCAGAGAATACCCCCAAGCACATTCAAATACCAGGTACCAAAAAAAAGATGTGCTTTGTGTATTTTTTTTGGGTCCCTGTATGTAAATTCCGTTTTAGATTGTTACGGCTACTAGGATTGGAACAAACAAGCAATACATTTCATATTTCGTGTGGCTGAACCAACGCTACAACTGGTTCCACATGGTTCCACAATGCTGCACGGTCAACCAGTCAATCAACAATTTTCATGATGCTTGATTTTTATTGATGCTGCACACAGGCACTTTCAAGCCACAGTATTATTATGTGGCACCACCCCGGTATGATAACGGGGTGGTGCCACATAATAATACGTCACAACTGTGGGAGCTGGAGGCTGGGATTGCTGTCCAGGGCCACCACCAGGGAGTGTTCCAATGCTACACTGTTTCAATTTCGAAAAAGTGGATGGTTCAAACCTGCTTGAAGCAGAAGTATCTGATCTATAGATGCGATAGGATTCTGTTTTGCAAGAGTCATGTGGAGGTCGATGGCGAGTGTACTTGTATTCTTTCAACACATTTTGATATGCGGTGCATTTACGTGCACTTGATCAAAAGAAGTGGTCCAAACTTTTTCGCAGGTCCAACAATACAGACTGTGCATCCGTGATTTTACCTTGTTTGTGCTTCGCATGAGGCATATTTGCTTTGGTGGTTGTTAGCCCTTTTCCAACTGTACATGGTAGCTGGTAGCTTGCTAAATCTCACTTTGATAGCAATTTCAAAAACCTGCATAAATTACTGATAAGTACATTCAATGTTCATATATTCTGGTCTTCGATGAGCAAGAGCTGGTACTGGCAGCAGACAGAGAGTTATAGCATATTGCAATTTCACATGAATTCATGACATGCAATGGTCGCCCAAACACAATGAATTTATAGTAAGTCTTTCACGAGGTTGTCTTTGTTTATTTGCCACAAGTTTCCCCCTGAACGCCCAAATTTGGTTCTTAGGCGTTTCTGCAGCGTGGGCGGTCCTTTCGCGGCAAAAATGGTGAACAACATTGAATGATTCTACTAGTATGTAGGTTGATGAGCGATTTTATCCCCTCGGGAAATTGCAGCTTTGTTTCCGTGTTCAGTCGGCGACAAGGAACGCTCATTTCTTTCCTACCGTGCCATTTTCTGACTTTTCTTGGTGACTGCTTGTTAGTCTGTGGTTGTTTGATCTATCGATTGCTAGTATCTTGCGTGCAGTCCGAAACTGGGCTCCTGTGACCGCTTGCTTTTGACATAACTTTGAAAGGATTGTTTCTTTGACATCACATCACACCTTCACTGTCATGGAAGGTGGATTCTATATGAATACAATGTCCCAGCGCAGCTGTTTGCTACCCCTTGGAGGCCGGGACGGGCTATGCAGAATCTTGAGGTTCTCGCCTGTCAAAGTCAAGGATTGTGATTCCAGCATGACGAAAACCATGCCAATTGCAGATCTAAGGGGAAAATTATGGAAAATTACCTGGTGGACCATCTTGTTGGAGCGTTTCAGGATGATTTTTTTGGACTGGCAGTCATCTCTGCGATATTATCCGATTAGGCCTCCAGAGCTACAGCAGCCTTACCCTGCAGGGAAAGAGCTGAATCGTTCCTTGGCACCAAGATCGGGCAGCATGGGGCACTGTTTGATTGATATTTGATATGGTCAACTTTGCTTGCACGACACTCATGAGCTTTGAGTTTTCTCAAGGCAGAAGTTCAGCTATTGCCTTCAACAAATGCATCTTTTCATTTGGGCTTTAATGCCTGGAATCCTGGAACAGCTTAGATTCAGAAGCCACGAAGTTCATCCAACTTCGTCCAACTTCATCCACTGGATATCACCAGGTCCCATCCCTGCATCGATTGGCCTTGGCCAGGGCTTCGGTGAACCCATGATCTGAGTCGAAATTCAATGCACAAGACGCCCTGAATCGAATGCGCAGGGACCTTGGGGCAGCCACAATGGAAATGTCTCACGGTGACCTGGACATGATCCGGTGGGATAAGAAGCCGGGCACAACTTGGGTTGTCCTTGAGATTTCTTGAGTATATTGTCTTAAATGATGTGTATATCTAAGAATATATAATTAATGTGGATGTGTGTGATTATGTGTATCACTTTGGGAACTTTGGGAGCTGGGAAGGGAAGGCGCAAAAAAATATATTTTGCCATGAGGAATAGTGAACAATGAAGTTTGGGGTACCTTTTGTGCCGCGCCCATTTTAGTATCCAATCCCAAATATGTCCAAAGGGTCGAATATCTTTCAATGGCTACGGAAGTTCCATGGGTCCGAGGTGTCCGAGGGTCCACATTGGACATGATATGACATGATGTTGCGCATTGCAGCCCATCTTGTGGCTTGAAGACTCTCCCAAGATCACGAATCATTACGACCCTCGACGAATCATCACTGATTATCGCGAATGATCATCGATCACCACGGATCATTCCTGATTGTCACTAATCATCACTCATTACAACTGATAACCAGTCGTCATGACCGTTTTGGGGATGCGCACGCAGCCATGCGAAGGCAAAGGCACAACGGGGTCGGAAGAGTCGCTGTCAGGGTCAAAAATCATGGTGCCCTGGGGCCCTGGTGAACACCGAAAATGTTCATCCCAAGGGATTAATGTTTGACCCATCCACATGTGCCATGGTAGACTCCGAATGGTGCCAAGACCCTGGTAGTGTGAAAACACCAAACGAAAGCTAGTCCATGGGCAAAAGGCAGTATATACTGTAAATAAGATGATATAAGATTATGCAAATGGATGTTCATCAGATCGCCGCAATGTCTGACACACCGTCGGCAAAAGCACTTCCATGGTGGTCACAAACGCCAGGGCACAAATTCGCCTTGCAGTGGGCTATTCAGGCACGGAACGGATCGAAATTTCACCCCTAAACTTGAACGGTATCGTATTATTGAACCATACCCACATAGGTGCGGCTTGAACGGCCAAACTCCCAAAAGTGGATCAAAGCGGTCGCTCCAATTTCTTCTTAAGGGCCTGGCTACTACGATGTCGCCCATGCATAGTTTTCATGGGATTTACATGGATTTACATGGATTTACAATATCTTGCAAGACTGGAATCGGCTTCTAGTTTCCAGAGTTATTTTGTTGCCAGACCTCAAAGCATAGGTGTGAAATGTTGTACCCCAATGCAGATCACGGGTGTGAAGATTCAGAGATTTTGACCCGTCCATGAACACCAAGTCTTCGGGGTTGATTAGTTCAGTTTGGTTTCGTCCGCACAACGTCATCTATTTGAGCGATGCGGACCCCAACCATTGGCAATTGCTTTCGTCCCCTCGATTCCAGAGGCTTATAAAATCATTTTTCTGAGTTAAATGAAATGTTTGATATCTTTTAGGGTATGGTCCGATGCGGAATTCCATGGCCCTCCAGAGACTTCCCCAGGCGGTGCAGGCGACCCAGCCGGCCCAGCCGGCGCAAAAGACTATCAGACAGCAGGACCGGTCCATCAGCCGGTCTTTGCTGCTGTTTCCCGAGACCTTTCCAGTCGGTAACGATAGAAGAGCTATCGAGTGCCATTCACTGGTTACCATATTGTCGCATTTAATCATTGTCTTGAGAGCGTTCTCTGGTTGTATTGGATCACTGCATATCACCGCTCCATGAATGATCTTGAAGGGTCGAGGACTGCACGAAGAGTGAAATGGGTGAGAACAGTGTTGGTTCGGGGACCAGTGATCCAGGTACATAATGGTGACATTTAGGCTACTCCAACCCGCCACAACCCGCCATCACCTTTGGCGCAGCACGCATTGGAGTCATTTGAGTGATATGTTCTGGGATGTTCCTTCAGTATCCTTCAGTTCTTGTTTGCCGATCTGAGCCTGATGTTCATGATGTTCTGAGTTTGTTCGTGCCGTGGTTCAGGTTAAGAATATGTCTTTCCTGTATTTCCAACATATTTCAATGAACATAAGCGACCGGTTAGGAAATGACGTGCCTTGGCTACGGCCTGGGGCAGGCTTTGCCGCAGGCTTCGCTGCAGGCTTCGCCGCAGGCTTCACCAGGCACCGGAAGCCTGAGCTAAACAGCCATCGAATGAGAAGTAAAGGAAAATCTAGGACCTTGTCTCACCAACTTTTGATTTTATTGCTGCTATCTGGCTGAGGAATCAGCACCGATTGTCAATCTTTGTCTTGGTGGCTTACAGATCTTATAGAGGATGTACCCAAAATACATTCCAATACCAGTTACCCAAAAGACAGATATGCTTTGTACATTTTTTGGGGGTCCCCTTATATAAATCGCTATTAGCATTGGGACAAGCAAGCAATACCTTTCATTTTTCATTTGGCTGAACCAATGCTACAACTGGTTCCACCATGTTGCGCTGTCAATCAACAACCTTCATGATAGTTGATTCTTCGCTAGTGCTGCACACAGGCACTTTCGTGCCACAACATGTGGCACCACCCGGCTACGTCAGAGCTGGAGGCTGGGATTATTCTGTTGTCTGGGGCCACCACCAGGGAGTGTTCCAACGCTACGCTGTTTCAATTTCGAACAAGTAGGTGGTTCAAACCTGCTTGAAGCAGAAGTATCTGATCTATAGATGCGATAGGATTCTGTTTTGCAAGAGTCATGTGGAGGTCAATGGCGAGTGTACTTGACTTGTATTCTTTCAACCCATTTTGATATGCGGTGCATTTACGTGCCCTTGATCAAAAGAAGTGGTTCTCACTCTGCGATGCCGTGCCAAACTTTTTCGCAGGTCCAATACAGGCTCTGCATCCGTGATTTCGCAACCTTGTTTGCGGTTCCCTTCCCAGGTGTTGCACAGTGCAGCTGGTTACCGCCCCCTGCAGGAGACTGGGACGAGCTGTTCAAAAATCTATTTGCGGCTGCGTTTTCAATTTGTCCCATATCCAGGAAAGTTTTGTTTCCAAGACTGATTGCGAGGTTGATGAAACAGTGGCCACGTGTTGTTGATTGGGGCATATCGGGGCCAAATCCTTAATTCTTATTCTGTTCGAGCCCATGAATGTCCCCCACTCAGTGCACCCATGGAATTTCGCATATGACACCTTCGCAGGTAAAACGAAGGGTTCCCTTTAAGAGTTTTCCTTAGTCTCCAAGTCATTCAATCCACCATCAATGCCCCGGGAAAGGCCTGGCGAGTCTGCTGCCCACTGTGGATGTCAAGTTCCCGGAGCCAAGGTGAGGTGATGTGGCCCGCATATGGCCCGCATTGGTTGAGATTTGTTGGGCGTGTTGACTGGGTGAAGGTGTATGTCAGACGAGCCCGCAACGCCCGAAATAAAGAGATCGTCATAGGTCACCAAAAGGACACAATTTTTCCCCTGAAGAGCTGGGTCAGGTGTTGCCGCCCTGTCAGGCAGTGTGCTGCTGCCACATCCCCCGCGACGCAGCCTTCCTATTACACGTTCCAGGATGGATGGCTGTGCCATTGTATGATGAGTCATACGAACCTTTGTTCCGATAGCAAAACAAGTCACGAAAGAAAGCGTCAGACAAATAAAGAAATACCGACCAGTACATGTCTCAGCTATTTTATTTATCTATCCATCTATTGTTCTTTCTTTCAGTCTTGTTTTTTCCTGTCCTGTTTGTTTGCCTGTCTTTCTTTATCCGTCGGTCTATCGCCTACCTACCTACCTACCTATCTATCGATCTAAGTCTGCCTGAGCTAAATCTGTTTGGGTCGGTCAAAGTCCATCTAAGTCGATCCATCTCCACCTATCTCTATCTCTATGCAAATATTGTTATCGTTATCTCTCTCTCTCTATATATCTCTATCTCTCTATCTTTCTATCTTTATTCCGGTCTTTCTTTATTTCATTCTACCCGTTTGCCTTTCTGTCCCTCTCCCTCTTCTTAATTTAGTATATGTACATATGTGTTCTTTACATTTATTTACCCTATAGATTATTTGACATCAATGACAGTCTCGCCACCTTTGTGATTTCCACGCCCATCCCACTCTCCGCCTGATCAGGCCAAGCCGGTCTCAATGCAGCCGGTGGCGAGGATGGAACAGCCTGGTGCCCATGGTGCTTAAGGATGTCTGTAAAGATTGAGCCTGAGGCTAACATACTTATTCCACTGTGCTTATGCAACCAGCGTCAATTGGTGCCTACCTCAACAAAAGCAAGGGTACAGCATATCCAAAGTCGGGCTCATCACTGGGGTGATTGATTGAGATTTGCAACCGCAGTTGCAAGTGGGCAAACAACCCTACCAATGTTTGGTACAACCCAAAAACCGGGCTGATAAATGCCATTTGGTATCACAAAGATAGTTTCTGTTGCAATCCGACTGATCCAATTCAAGAAATTTCCAAACCTTTACCTGTCATTTTCCTCGGTCCAGTTGCTTAATGTGCAGGAGATCCACTGGTGATTGAAACAAACTGAAATCCCCCCCAATCGACAGTCAGGTCTGGGGCATTGTTATGCTGTCATGGCTGGCACCAATGTATTGACCATATGAAGAACTATATGTCCAGTATGTTCGGTAGTAGGACGAGGTAGGGTCGCATTTCCCCTTTTGATCAAGGAATTATTTCCCACATCAACTTCTTCTGCAGGTCACCTGCCCTGAGAGTTACTCCAGGGCAGCAGGTTTGGTGGCGGGAGAGTTTGTGTTGCCAGGGAACCAGCGAATTTTTAAGCCCTCATATGGCCCGTCAACAACCTGAGCCAACTGCTGATTTGATTCAACAGAACTGGGTCCATTTGAGCGACAGTTTGAAGTTAGGGCTCATGGTTCGTGATTGAATGTCCCAATGAAATATTGCACCACAATCTATACTATACGTATGTTTACTCTGTATACATACGTATATACATACACATATACACCGTGCTGTATATACTATGTGTATATATATATATTATATTTACATTGTTTTATCTACATACATATATGCATATACCCGTTACGATTTGACACTATATTATATATATAGCATGTTGAATATACATATGTATATCTATATACGTCTATCATAGTTACACACTATATGTATATATGCTCTATACTATATTTGGACCACATTATAGATACTATATTGTTTGTACAATACTAATACTCATACTCATAATCATATTCATACATAAAAATAAATATACTTATTCTTTCCCTGCAAATGTGTTAAGTAATGTATAAGAAAGTCAAGAAGAGATATCATACTGATACTCATACTAGTGCTACTAATCATACTTATAACGATGCCAATATCTATATTAATATTTACCTTACTACTAGTGCTGCTGCTGCTGCTACTACTGCTACTGCTGCTGCTGCTGCTACTACTACTACCACCACCACTACCACTACCACCACTACCACTACCACTACTACCACTACCACTACCACTACCACTACCACTACTACCACTACCACTACCACCACTACCACTACCACTACTAATAGTATTGCGTATACTTTACGCTTGTATTTTTATACTCGTTCTTCTACAGAATGTGTTTTACTATATGCTAAACCACATATACACTATATTATCTGATAGATATACTATATGTTTTTCCTGAATAGGTACTCTACTCAACAACCACTCTACTTGCTGCATATATATATATACACATATACATCCCACTTGTATAGAAAGACAAGCCAGCGAGGAATGATTTGCTGACTTCTTTCAGTTTTTTCCCCAGTGTTGAATGGTACGTGGTGGTTCAGTCCACCAACTCAGCAGGTTCTGGACCTCCGTTTGCGGAAGTCTTGAATTTCTAATGTAAATCCCCAGAAAAAAATAGAAACGCGACATTTAGATCCTGGGTTGTGGTTGAAAACCGACCCAATTGCGGTTGGTGGCCATGGTATCGGTCTCCCAGTTTCGTTTCTGCGGATTTTGGCCAGGTGAGCACCCACATGGGTGCCATTTGCCATCAAGGCAGGACTTTGGAGATCAGCGGTAGGGCGGGGTGCGCTTTTGCAGCTGAAGTACCAGGTGAGTTTGGAGTTTTTTGCTCCCAACATCCCATGGTTTGGAAAATCGTGTTCCCCGTTTTTGAATGGTCATTGAATGTGGTTTGATTTCCCCCTTTTGGACAAACTCCTATTGATATCCCAGTATGCCCCCACGAAATGGTTGGTGCATTTTATACCCCATCATTTTTGTTTTGTTGCAGGCCTTGTAATGATAGACATCGAAAGTGTCGACATTGAACCATGGCCTTGGACCACGTCTACAGCCTAGTGGTAGGGCTGACATCGGCGGTTCGAAGCCCCTGAAAACCGTTTTTCTATGGGATCACGTCAAAACGATATCCATAGTAAATGTGTATCCATGTGTATCCATCATATATTATAGAATGGGCTAGCGCCCAGGTGCCGCCGACCCCCCTAATTGGAGGGGGGTACTGTAGAGAGAGAGAGGGAGACGGACAGCAAGACAGACATATGGCCGTTTGCTTCTCAAGCCTGTGGCCTTGTCGTCGCTTTTGCGTGCGGGCGTGGCGCCTGTTGGGGTACCTTTTGCATCGGAGTTGGGCGGACTTTTGGAGGAGTTGGAAGGTTTGGAGGGTTTAACGCCTATAAGAAGCCATTGCTGCGGCCGTGGGGTGCTCTTGAGCCATTGCTGTGGCCTTGTGGTGGCTTTTGCGTGCGGGAGTGGCGCGTGTTGGGCTTGTTGGGGTACCTTTTCCCTGCGGAGCTGGCCGGACTTTTGGAGGGTTTGGAGGGTTTTGGAGGCGTTTGAGGCCTGGCAAACGGCAGCCTTGAACGCGTATAAAAGAAGCCATTGCTGCGGCCGTGGGGTGCTCTTGAGCCATTGCTGTGGCCTTGTGGTGGCTTTTGCGTGCGGGAGTGGCGCGTGTTGGGCTTGTTGGGGTACCTTTTCCTTGCGGAGCTGGCCGGACTTTTGGAGGGCTTGGAGGGTTTTGGAGCGTTTGAGGCCTGGCAAACGGCAGCCTTGAACGCGTATAAGAAGCCATTGCTGCGGCCGTGGGGTGCCCTTGAGCCATTGCTGTGGCCTTGTGGTGGCTTTTGCGTGCGGGAGTGGCGCGTGTTGGGCTTGTTGGGGTACCTTTTCCTTGCGGAGCTGGCCGGACTTTTGGAGGGTTTGGAGGGTTTTGGAGCGTTTGAGGCCTGGCAAACGGCAGCCTTGAACGCGTATAAGAAGCCATTGCTGCGGCCGTGGGGTGCCCTTGAGCCATTGCTGTGGCCTTGTGGTGGCTTTTGCGTGCGGCAGTGGCGCGTGTTGGGCTTGTTGGGGTACCTTTTCTGCGGAGCTGGCCGGACTTTTGGAGGGTTTGGAGGGTTTTGGAGGGTTTTGGAGCGTTTGAGGCCTGGCAAACGGCAGCCTTGAACGCGTATAAGAAGCCATTGCTGCGGCCGTGGGGTGCTCTTGAGCCATTGCTGTGGCCTTGTGGTGGCTTTTGCGTGCGGGAGTGGCGCGTGTTGGGCTTGTTGGGGTACCTTTTCCTTGCGGAGCTGGCCGGACTTTTGGAGGGGTTGGAGGGCGGACTTTTGGAGGGTTTGGAGGGTTTTGGAGGGTTTTGGAGCGTTTGAGGCCTGGCAAACGGCAGCCTTGAACGCGTATAAGAAGCCATTGCTGCGGCCGTGGGGTGCCCTTGAGCCATTGCTGTGGCCTTGTGGTGGCTTTTGCGTGCGGCAGTGGCGCGTGTTGGGCTTGTTGGGGTACCTTTTCCCTGCGGAGCTGGCCGGACTTTTGGAGGGTTTGGAGGGTTTTGGAGAGTTTTGGAGCGTTTGAGGCCTGGCAAAACGGCAGCCTTGAACGCGTATAAGAAGCCATTGCTGCGGCCGTGGGGTGCCCTTGAGCCATTGCTGTGGCCTTGTGGTGGCTTTTGCGTGCGGC